TTTGGGAACGTGTGTTTTCGGTCATGTCCGCAGAAGGGTATCAACAGTTTCAGTTCCTTCTGCAATGCCCCTTTGCCTTTGCCAGCGTTCAGGCAATTTATTTGTGTTGTAGCCAGGGTTTTGGCTTGCATGTTCACCTGCGAATTCCCGGGTGCAATTCGAAAACATTTTGATTGGAGTGGGCTGGAGCACTTGCACGGTGTCAGTTTTGATGCTCCAAGGATTTGCGCTTTCACGATTTGAGGTCGTGCGGTTCAAGGGGTCGGCGCATGGACAACAGAAGCAGCGGAGCAAAGCATCCTTGACACAGAATGTTGCCACATCAGCTTCAACAAACCCCTACATTGCTAAATTGCTGAATGTTTTGCGCCGAGATTGAAATCACAGCCCCGAAAATCAGAACGTTCCTTTTTTTCTTTGGATCGTGCCCGTGATTGGAACTTCGAGTGGGCAATGGCAACAGGCCGGCAAAAGCTAGGTTGATGAATTGTATGCATATCATTTGCTGTACTGAAGCCGAAGAACTGCTACAGTGCTACAGATACAACTCTAACTTGAGTCAATGAGGCCACCGTCACCAACCGACAACATTTTAAACAACAGCCACAACAACAACAACAACGACAATTCAATAATTAAATTGTGGAGGCCTCGTGTCCTGAAGGTTGACATGCAAAAGGTAACTGGCAAATGACAATGAACATATTTTTCATGGGTCACCCGTGTTGTTGTGGGTTTGTCTCGAGGCCTGGAACTGCCAGTTGCGCGACAAAAACCTGCTGCATTGGATCCGGATGCGTGGACTTTTGGTGGCACATATTTGGCATAGCTTGAAGCCATTTGTCAGCATGTCACAGTGGAGCCAATGTTTCACTTGTTGTCCAAGATTCGGAGGTTGATTTTTTTCTTGCGGTAAGCGGGCCCATCCAGCTAATAGAGGTGCAGCGGGATTTTACACATGTGTTGGTTTGAGATTGACTCCCTGGCACCGTCGACTGCTGCGAAGGAGGTCTCCCCGACAGATGGAGCAGACAGGATCGCCAATGCATTCACAGGCTGGTGAGTGTGTATTCGCCAAGGTCGGTGACAGGTCTTTCCGGAAATGGAGGAATCGTGTTGAATGGTGTTCAGTTCCCTCATCACACATGTGGAACACTTGAGCGTCCAAAACAGGTCCGGTTTCGTTCAAGCTGTGACGATGCACAGCTTGATCATGGCGTCGACCACGCATGACCGGCCACGCCCAAGTGTTCCAAGGCCTTGTTGGGGCGTGGTGGGCATTCGCGGTCACCTTCACCTCGTCCGTCTGTGGACTTTGAGACCCCGATCGCGCGAGAGAATGTGCCATGGCGAGCGAATGGGGGCAATTGGAGGTCCCAGGCGCGTTTAAACATGTTGAGGCAGTTACCGGCTTGCCCCTTTTCAATTCATTTGTTTGGTGCAGTTACGAAGTTCGCCAAGAAACAACAACCTTGAATTTGGCACTTTCGTGGGCCCACTTGACCTGCCAATATTTGCAAAAATAACCTTCCCAGACAGGGACGGTGATGCGGCTCGAGATGTGCAGTGGACCCTATGTCAATTGGCGTTCAATGGGTCCAACAATGTTTCTACCATTTTCAACCCAGTCCTTCGCGAACCGCGCCTGGGAACTTGGCGTTGCTCAATCCACAAGAAACCTCGTTGACCTCCAACGTGAGTCCCAAAGGCAACATGATGCAGTGACGTTCCCCAATGTCTCCTTTAAATGTCATGGGCAGTGTGTTTGAAACAGACATGTGCATGGTGAGAGTGGCATGTGCGTAAGTGAAGTCATGTTATTTTTTGGTGCAGGGTTCTGCCAGAAGCAGAGGTTCAGACAGACACCTTAGAGTGCATTGGGTGCATTGGTATGGCATTGCTGCAATGAAAGGCGGACAGATGAATTAGGCTGCTTTCCAACTCCACTTTTTTGACGCCCTTGTTTATTGATTAAGCCACAGCCAAGCTTTGTAGGTGCCGCTGGTTCGATTCAGAAATAGGTTTTGACAAACAGGTGATTCGACCCTTTCGACCAACGAAGGTCTATGGATCAGGAGGCCTTGAGGGGGCGGTCGATCCAGTTTTGTGTTGGGAAAGTCAATGTGGCGCGGCGGCGTAGAAAACGACCGTAACGCACAATTTTCAGTGAATAACCTCAGTGAAATGCATGCAGATTCCACGAAGAGGAAGGGGGGTCGCGTTGTGTCGGATGCAGGAGCGCCCAGATCTCCGATGCATTCAGAGGCCTTGCGCTCTGCACGCCCGGTGCCCGGAGCAGCTGCAAAGATGTGCGCACGACAATGATACTGGATACTGTATGGGGAGCTTTCACTAGCAACCCTTTTAGATTGGCTATGTGGAGAAACATGTAGAACATATCACCTTTTGTTGTTTGAACTTGCGGCGGTGACTTTGTCAGTGCGCCTTACCGTGGCCAGATGCATTTTCTAGCTGGACTCACCACCCGGGCAGACAAGTAGGGATGCTGGATGGCACGACAGGACGACGTGTTTTGAGGCTTTGCTGCGACATAGGACCAGGTCCAGGGTGCCTCCGAGGATGTGCACGGGTAGCGGGGGAAACCACTACCGGTTTGTGTGGAAGGACTTTGATGTCGATTCTTAGCCGAGGCCAGCACAGCAAGTCGCCGCGAAGTCTTGAGCATCTTGGGCTGCAAGGCTTTAAGGACCCGATCAATCAAGGTTTGGAGTGGGGTAGGAGCTTTACGACGAGTTCTCCAAACTGGAGACTTTTGTAGAAATTCCTCGCAAGTCCACTTGGCCAAGTCGCACGCGCTGTGCTCACAGCAAAGCGACCGACGTCTTAGAAGAGATCAGCTATTGACTTTTGGGCCAGGATCGGTGTGGCTTGGTTTCGCCCTGAGGCCCTCTCCTTTCTACGGTTCAGACACTTGGGAGGCCTGGACGAGGGGGATTCTTCAGACCTCACGCTTCGCAGTCTCCATGGCGTCCATATCGGGACAGCCAGCGGAGGGCCATTGGACACTGGAGGCAGTGGGACACTACACAGTCGGCTTAGAAGGGTGGATGTTGCAGCTTTCTTCCAGACATGGGGATCATGGCCATGGTCCACGTGACAAGGATGGCCGATCAGGGCAAGTTTACCAGCGAAGCAAATGAAGTTGGGGAGAATGGAATGGGCTGCACAAAGATCTCCCGAAGTTAAACCAATGAAGTTGAAACCAATTCCTTCCGAAGATTGTCCAAACTTGCCGTACAGGCTCCGACGGCCTCTCCTGAACGAAACTCGAAGGCGCATGGCTCTCGTTCTTGTGTGTGTGTGTGCTTTGAGAATGCCGAAGCTTGCCGCGCGGTGCAGAATAGTATATAGATGTATATAAACTGATTTGAGAAGTGGCCCACACATCCGCATGGTGTGTTACAAAGTGGCCGTGTAGCACTGAGTGGAAAGAAGAAAGCCACCTGGGAAGAAATCAGAGTCCAACACAGCAGGGGATGTGCTTTTCCCTTGTTAATGCAGTGGAGAATTCTTCCTTCAAACTGCTGCCCTGCCAGATGACGCTTGACGCTAGCACCTCCTTCCGATCTGAGCTGGTGACGGCTTCGCCCAGGCCGGGGCAGCCAACTGGTGCAGGTTGTTCACAGGTTGATGGTGGATGACCCAGGTCGCCGATGAAGAGTTTAGAGGAGCCCCTTTTTTCCGCAACAAGCGGTTTCATGGTAGCCTTAGCGGTGACCGATCTGTTGGTTACTTCAGGTTCTGACTGCATGAAGTTTTGGGCTCCGGGTATGGGCCCCCATTGTTATGGAGATTTTGCACCTTGAGGCATTCGAGCTCACTCTCTCCTAGATTCTTGGCTGGCACAGGGCGTGGCTCAACATTTTCACTGTGCTCAGAGCTTTTGACCGACTGATAGCTTTCTACAGTGTCTTACTTGTTCCTACAGCAGGGACCCCAAGTCCTACGAAGCATCCCAATCACGATGGGCGTTTGGGTGACTTCCGGGTGTGCGGTTCGTCCAACGGCTGCAACAGCAGAACTCCCAAGGACATAGCCTGCAGCATCGCTCATCACCTGCCACACCGGTGACACCAGACCAGATGGGAAGTGCCACTTGGCTGGGGGAGTCATTCTGTATTTCCATATGCGGCAGGCAGTGCCAGTGCCGCAGGCAGTGCAGAGAGGGGAGAGTTCGGGAGAGTTCTGGAGAGTTCTGCGCCTGTCCTTCGTTGTTTTGGAGTTGCTGGAGGCTCCCTGGAGGCTTCCGCAGGCCCCTGTTGGATTTTTTCAAGTTTCTTATGTGCGGAACGCTGGCACAAGGCAGCATCTAAATCTATGTATAGTTGTATACGGTGTATGGTAAGTAGCCGGCTCTGGGGAGTCGAAATTACCACCAGTCATCGTTCCCAAGAATTCCGATCTCGACGGATCCAGCTTGTGCTAGACGCCCCGCAACGTGGTCCATGGAATGTCCATGGAACTTTTCTTTGCTCGTGTTGTCCTTTGAGGATCTTGCTGCCTCATCTTTTAAACTTTCAGAGCGTGACTTGATTGCAATCTGAGTGGTGAGGCATTGTCTGATAGAGGCAGTCAGAGACCGTGACTGCCTTGACTATGGTGTACAACATTGTACAACGGGTACATTGTACTCGTAGTCGCAATGGCCTCCAGACTGGTTGGAGTTTACGAGGAGGTCTTATTTAAATTGGCACGAGACGCGGAGAGTGATGGGTTGCCGGGTTGCCTGTTTGATGGCTTTGTTCCTTTTTCGTCTTGAGCCGCTTGAGCCTGGGCCTTGAAGGTGCCTACATGCCGCGACAATACCAGACACCAGCCTCTGGGCATAGTTCGCCAATGCATTCGCAGGCAGTGTTTGGGGTCGGCATCAGACAATTGGCAAGTTTCCCAAACTACTTTTCTAGCCTGGGGGACGTTTGACGTCCTAGTCATCTCCGGTAGTAGTGGTGAGTATAGTATACGCTTGCACGCTTACGGTAGTTCTTATACATCTTTTAGCCCTCCTTTGTACAATCATCCAGTTTCTGTCGGACCAGTTTCAGTAGGACACCCACAAGAGAGGAGAGGCATGGTTTGTCGGTCTTATTTTGCAGGGCATGTCTGATAGAAGGCTGGATTTGACCTTGAGTGCTGCACAAATAGCAAAGAAGACGCTGAAACATTTCTTTGCAGGCCTTGCTTGACTGCCAACGCCATAGTCGAATGCTCAGATCAATTGTCGGACAAAGCTTTTCAGAGATGCACTTGCAAGTCTTCCTGCCTCAAGCTTTGCGTTTGAACTCCGAACCACTGGTTTGATGAACCCACTGCCTGCAACTGTAGCGTTGATCCACAGCTGGTTGCGGCCACGCCGACACGTGCCAAAAGGAGCTTCGCTTCTCCTCGTGCCCAAGGGCCGACGTTGCGAAGGTGGTGTTTTTGGATGTCCACCTCCTTCCTCCTTCCCTACTTTTGTCGTATCCGTCACATCCCGCAAGTGTTTCGATGGTTCGGGGTGTTCTTCCATCGTGTTCTCCTCCAATCTTCCTCCCCAACTTGGCCCCACCACGGCCGGCCCGTCGCCTCAGGCACCTCCCCCCGGCGCTCGCCGGTGGCGATGGACGTGGAGCTCTCGCGGTCGCCCAGCACGGTGCGGCACCGACTGCCCGGGGCGCCTGGTGGACCGCCAGTGAGTACGACAAGAGTGAGTGTCACATCAAAGTCTCCACAGAAGTGTCCCAGACAGACAGAAAGGTCCCAGACAGGCAGAAAGAAGTCGAGTGTCCCGTGTCCTGTGTCGACGAGTGCGACCATGGCATGACGCCACGAAGGAGTCCCGCGAGTCCCACCCAATGGGATCGAATGGAAGGGGCACGGGTAGATGAGGGAAGATGCGTCCTTTTGTTGGGGCACGGGTAGAACAGGAAGCTTACCAGATTGGATGTTGTGTCCTTGGCTTTTGACTGGAGCTATAGAGTGTGAACTGATCGGTGGGTATAGTATGTGGGATGCATTTATTTGCATTTATTAGTTGCCATGCTGAGCGCAACTTCTAGACAATGCTATTGCAGGTTCGTCGGCTGACTGTTTATTTAGTGGGAACAGCAGATCAACAAAAGAGAAACATTATTTTCAGGTTGGAGTGTAGGTTTACAGTGTACAGGTTGAAGCCCACAAGGCCCTGAGGAGACAGAAAATGCCCCTAATGATCAATGCAGATCCTTTTGGAAGTTCCCGTGGCCTAACTCCACTGCAATTTTCATCGGCTGAAAGATTCATCATGAAACTTGAACCTTTTGAGCTTCACCCGACGCTTGCTACACGACCCGCTGCTCTCCGACACGCTGGGGTCGTCTTCCGATCGGGCCATCCACCGCTCCGATCCGTCAAGGACCATCCCCGATCTGCCTCACAGAGGTGGAGGGGGGCCGCCGGGAGGTGAACGAACGGGGTGGACGGGCCAAGCTCCGAGGCGTTGAGGTTGGTGCCGGGTGCCATTGTCCTTTTCCTTTTTTGGGGTGTTTGGGATGTCGCGAAAACCTCGTGCTTAGGCCCGTTTGGCCTTCGCCAGCTGAGTTTGCTTTTGAAAGACAGATGGGAGGCCTGAGGCCAAGCACAGTTAGGTTTCACATCATTTCACCAGAACCCAAGGCGCCGGGTTCAGGGCCGGTGGCCCCAAGTAGCTGTCTCCGGCGTACGTCCTTCGGCTTCGGGGGAGCGGACCAGGTGACGAGTCGCCTGGACACCGGCTGAGCATTTGCATGAGCGAGGAGTTCCGACCGTTGCAGGCGAGGCACGCGAGGGGAAAGCGAGGCTTCTCGTGTTCCCGGCGCGGGAGGTCGGGAACCCGCGCCAGGAACACGGGTGGGAAAGTGGTGACCTGTGATGTAGACTGTTGATTAAGAAAAGCCCTACCAGGATGGCTTTGGATTTCCGTATTTATATAGGGCTTTATTAATCAACAGTACTATCAACAGTCTAGATTGGGAGTTTGCCAGCGAAACTTGATTCCTCACAAGCCTTCTTTGGATGCATGTGCCTCTGTGTTGCCGTTGGCTTCACCGTGTTGTCGCAGCAGCTTGCAGACAACGTGTTTTCGTGGGCAAAGGACCGCAGGGTTCTGAATGACACCGCCTGTTGATGTGTGTGAGTTGCTACATTGGTAGGCTATCCAAAGCGGATGGCAAAAGCAAGCCCAAAAAGGGGGAGACAATTTATATAAATATATATATATATTATATACACATATATATTTTTATATTCACACATATTCACACACACATATTCACACACACATATATATATATATACACTCATACATATAGTTATATATATATATATATATTTGTTCAAATTTATATTGTACTGTATTGCATTGTATTGTATTGTATTATGATGTTATATATTGTTGTATTTTGTATTATAGCACGCTACATTATGTTATACTATATTGTATTATGTCAATGTTATACATATAACTATATATGCATCCAACTTTGACACAGCAACATGAACGATATCCGATATCCTCCTTCAGCCTTTTGAGTAGGAAGTCAAGTGAGACGTGAAAATTTTGGAATGGCAATCTTTGTTCTGAGTGCGCCCTGGTGGCAAGACTACTGACACTGACCCTATCTCGTTTATGATGCTGCCTGTTGATTGCACGGGCCCAGCACGGACTCTCAGCTTCCTTGGGTGCTTTGAGGGGGAACCCAATGAAGCTCCAGGGTTCCAACTTCGAGAGAAGTTCCTCGCATCTAATGAGAAAGCGTGGCAGGCCGATGGCGCAAGGCACCGCGGCCCTGAGTGGATTCGAAGACAGAGTGGCCAAGTGTGTAGAGCTCCAAAAAGTAGAGCGAGACATCACTCGAGTAAAAATGTCCTTGAGATTGACATTTGCACCACGTGTTTTAGCTGGGCTCGGATGTAGTCACTCTCTTTTTGGGTCCTGACGACCTTTTGTAGTTGTTGCTCACACAAGGAATCTGTTGGACTAGTTGGCCAGGACGCCTTACGACCGTGAACTGGACAAGTTCCGGCCTTTGTCGCCACTTGCGAGCCAGCAGCAACAGGACAATTTGGACATTGGTGCGCAGGGCAGGCATTTAGACATTCGGACAGAGCAGACCTTTCCTTGACATAGCCTTCTCTGCAGAAGATGTTTTGTGGGCTTGACGTAGCCACTGGGCACGTGGTTTAGGGTTTGCTTGATAGATGTGGCTGTGGTTCAATGCCCGCAGCCTCTAAACCCTGGCACCAGACACGCTGCGCAAGTATCGATTGGTAGTCCACCAGGGTCGAACTTGCGAGGAGGACGAGTTGGACCGCTTCCGGCCGTTGTCCCCCAAGTCCAAGTGGGACGAACCGCTCAATGTGGTTGCCTCAGTCAATGGTCCATCATGTTCCAACGGCATTTGGATGGTAGTGCCCAGATGGACAAAGGACGTAGATGGAAACGAAGATGGGATCAAAACCGTCACGACTTTGCGATTGAACTGGGTTGACATGGGTTGCGCAGAGCTTGCCAGCAATTCTCTCCATCCGTTTCACTGCTTCATCTTGAGTATGGGCAGTACTGCCCAAGAGCCCAAGAGGGTTTGGAGTCCTGCCATTGAACCACGAGTGTCCACCAAGGAGCTGGACAAGTTCCGACCTTTGTCGCCAGAGTCGAAGAGATCCACCTTGGATGCGACGGACTCGAACACCTTCAGGACTCGAACACGTTTAGTCTAGCGGTACTAGGTGCGAACGCTTTGGAGTCGAACGTCATAATCCGGAGTAGCAAGAAGCTACTAGTAACAAGGGCACCACTACTAGTAACATCTAGTAACAAGGGCATTACCACTAGTAATTAGCAAGAAGCGACCAGAAACAATGGATAATGCCACCCACTGATTTCGCTGCTTTCGTTCGGGCAGGATGGCCTCCCCCGACTCCGGGGAGTCGAAGAGGTTGCGCTTCAGCGATGAGAACAGGACCATTCCTACCTTGAGAGGTACCAGTAGCTTCTTGTTACTAGTAGCGATGCCCTGGTTACTAGTAGTAATGCCCTTTGCTACTACCTTGAGAAGTGTCTTTTTTGGCTGAAACACTGAAAGACCTGAGGTGTGTTGAGAAGCTGAGATAGTCAGCAATCAGGCTTCTGAGATAGTCTGTGCTGATTCAAGTGCAATGAGAGGCGATGTTTGAGATGATGGGACATCCCCATTCTTGCCCTCAGTCCCAGATCGGGGCCGCCGTCGGGAGTCTGTTTGCTCAGGAGATCACTTTCAAAGGACCCGCAGCGCCGCAGGGGGAATGAGAAGACTGAAGAGATCATGTTGTTTGCATCAGCTGTGACGGTGTTGCTGCTGTGAAGGCATGTTCTTAGATAGGTGATTCTTGAGCGGTTTCTGTGCTCACGCCGAGTGCATGCAGTTGGCTTCATGCAGGAGATTGCGGACAGTCCTGCCATGGAGGAAGAAACCAGGAGGTTGGGGACGTCCGGAAGGGAGTTATAAAGCTCTTTGGCTTCAGCTCATTCTTCTCTAGGCGCACGGATTCTTGTGGAGTTTTTTCCTTTTCCGCGCTTCAGAAAAGGGCCCAGACCATCGTGGTCGAGTCTTTTCGGTTCATTCAAGGCAGACCTTCGTGTGGCCAGGCAAGAAGAACTCACCCAACAGCTGACCATGTGGCTTGGACTCTCGTATGGATGGGGCTGCTTACACTTGTACATCTTACCTACACGCATCGAAGATTGAATTTGTGCAGGTTGTGAATGCAAACCAGACCAGGATTGTTGTTACTTGCTTGGGCTTGGGTCGATCGCAGGCAGATCCGAAACCGCTCCCGGTCCTCTTCGAGGGCCTCCTCTGTGGCGGCGTCGCCGCAACAGAGCTCCCGCATGAGCTCCCGGACGCATCTGCCCAACCAGATGTACCTGCCAGGAGACACCGTGAATCAAGGGTGTGAAATGACTGGAAACGAAGTCTATGAACCACCGTGCGCTGAGCAAACGAGACGGACATGTATTTGACACATCGATGCTGCACCCCATTGAGGAGTGCCAGACCGCCCTCACAAGGCTGCAATGCAACAGCAACAACTTCAACAGCAGCACCAGCAGCAGCTGCAACAACTCCAGCAGCAGCAAATGCAGCAGCAGCTGCAAGAGCAACTGCAGATCCAACAAAAACTACAGATGCAGCAGCAGTTGCAAACGCAGCGACTGATGCAGCAACAGGTACAGGAGCAGCCACAGCACCTGACTCAGCCAATGCCTCTTCAGTCAACGCCTTTTGCGCAGCCCAGCCTGCCTCAAACACAGCCCAGCCTGCAGACTCAACCCAGTGACTCAGATGGCATTGAGCAGTCAGACATCCTTTTGGCACCTGGTAGACCACTTTCTCCTTGCACTTGAATCATGCAGAAAACAGGACACTGCACAGCAATGCTTGCTGAGAATCAGCTGTCCTCCCTGCCCAGGTTTGATGCCCGTGATGCGTCACCCGGTGTCCTTGGAGAACTCGCCTGTGAGCCTTGGAAAGGACCAGGAGGCTACCAGCATGGTTTCGAAATCACTTACTGTATGTATATATTTGTACGTGCAACGCTGGAGGGTAGACCTTGTGATCTTGCTGGACCTTTGAACAGCCTAGAAGCTTGCTATTTGTTCGTTCGCCCCTTTGTTCTTTGAGACAGGTTAGGGATCTGGTCGTCCCGGTCGATTTTCGTTGCCGTGATGCCGCCGTGACCGGAGCCCAAGGACACGGACCACCTTTTTTCCGGACGAAGTGGGCAACAGCATGGCACCGCTTGAGGCAGGGCCAAGCACACCTTCCTAGGATTATGATTATACATTGCTACGATCTTATTTGATCTCATTTTATCTTATCTCTATAGTCTAAAGGTATAGATTACTATATATATATATATAGATGAGCCACGCAACATGTGTGTCACAGAGCAGTTGCACACAAAACTGCTTGAATCTCCTTGATTCTTAGCTCAAGAGTCGTGAGCTTTCTTTCGGGTTCTAACAGTTGGGAACCGACTCAGCACCCTCAGGACACACCTCCAGCAGTTGTCCGCCGTGCTCCAAAGTCACTGGGGCAATCGCTGCGGCACCGGGTGTGGTTCGGATGTTCATCGGAGGGGCTCCGGTCTCGTTGGCCTTGGCGAAAGCGGACAAAGCGGACAGAGCCCTTGTTCTTTGGGGTCGTTTCTGAACATGACCCAGTGGCTTTGGTAGGAATGCTTTGGCCGCATGGATGTAGTTCTGCCTGTTGAAGGTGCTGTGAGCTCGAGTCTCGTGGAAAAATCCATGGCCTGGTGTAGGCTTCTAGCTAGCTTTGGCAGATTCAAGTTCAACACCCCTTTCAACAACCATCAGCCCAAATGCTACGTGGGGAATACAATGTAGAATTATTGATCTACTGTAATTTCAAGTTGGAGCCTTCTGGCGGCTTTCTGGCTTTTGGCATGCTTTTGGTGGCTTTGACTTCTGTGGCTTACTTTTTGTGTGGTGGCGCTGGCCCGAACCCATACTTTTCGAGTTTTGGGAGTGCTGTAAATTTCTTGAGGAGACTGCGTTCTTTAATTTTCCTTTCCCTTGCCTTGTCTGTGCAAGAAGATCTAAACAATACCACTGAGGACAGCTGTGGAGGCCCACTGTTTTTAGTTCACACCTGGTGGTGTAGGATTTGTTTGTAGATTGGCGCTGTCTGGCACGTTTTGGAGTTATGAAGCACGGGAACCAGGCTAAGAACTCATCTCATGAACCTCACAGGGCTGGCTGTTGTATGCATTTTGGGGTGCTGAACTTTTGGGGCTTCATGCTCTCAGAAGCGCCCCAAAGGTTTGCCTTTCGGGTGTTGATCAGGTCTTGCCGAATCCTTCCCTTGGAACTTTGAACTCGACTGTGGCATCTCAGTTTGCAAGTGAGGTTGAACCTCCAAGCAGCCCCTACCATTCCGCTGCCATCACACGATGGTGTGGCATTGGAGCCCTACAGAACCGGTCTCCTGCCTGCAAGGTCAGTCTATGCAATGCTCAGTCGAGCTACAGTCTGACCTGAGAAGATGTCGTACGGGGAGAACAGGTCGATCCCGTACGATTGCTAGGAACGGGGCAAGGTATATATTTCCTTCTATTTTCTGTGAACATGCTTCCTGGCTCTGAAGATTTTTGGAAGATAGCTTCTTTCTTTCCCTTGGAATGCACCTGTCCAGTACTGAACTCAGGTGACCTAGAAGAAGCGACCAGATCTGGAGAAGTCTCTGACTGTGCGACGCAGCACGTCTCAGAGCTGGTCACGCAAGAAGTGGTGAGACCGGTGGAGACGCAGGTCATCCGAGAAGTGCCACAGCCACAGATGCCACACCTGCCGCCTCAACAGGCCCAACAGGTCGAGGTTGCTTGGGCTTCTCAGCGGCGCGCCGCTCGAGAGCCAGACCGGGCCGTGCAAGAGACACAGCATGTGCCTCCGTCCAAGAGCCCCGTGCAAGAGTACCAGTTGAGCGAACGTCGAGGTGAAGGTCGCCGGAGTGCGGATCTGCCGAATGCGAATGCAGCCAGCCGCCATGGCCCACCCGTGGCCCGAGACTTTGCACCTCCACCGCCACCGCCACCGCCGCCACAGGAGGTGTCTCATCACCCGCCAGGGTACTCGCCGGCAGCACCGGTGCAGACGCTTCAAACCAGCTCGTCGGTCCACTCGGCGCATGGCATGCGACCAGAGGCTCGCTATCGCTCTGCCTCCGAGCCCAGGTGGGCTGTGTGAGCAAACGCGACAAGCCGAGCTTTTAAAGGGCCATATGAGCGGTCTTGATTGTGCACCTATCATACACGATGGCCATGGTAAACTCATGTCGCTGGCTTTTTTTTTTTGGTCTTTTGTGTCTTTCATTCCCTGCGGCGTTGAATGATCTTAATCTGATGTCGATGTGCACCCTTTGATCATTGCAAAATCCCAGACAGACATACGAATCCCGGATGCCGAAGAACATTCTCCTCGTTGTTGACCAGGCTCCAACGCCATGCCTGTACAATGACTGAGGGTGAGGGAGCTTAGACCTGATTGCGCTAAGTTTAAAGGCTTTGCTTGAGATTTTGCTGTTTTGGATTGTTTTGGCATGGCGAAGTAAAACAACTAGAAAAGACCCTGGAGAGGGAGGGGTGCCCTTGCAGAAGGCCTTTTTTTTCAAGTCCAATCCCATGCGCGCTGCCCTTTTGCAGACACATGTGCCGTCCGTGTGTCTCATCACCTGAAAGGCTGAACGGTTGGTCACGCTGAGGCTCAACCACGTCGTCCAACTCCAAAGAGAGGATACGAGCATTGGAGTTTCTTGGTTTTTAAAGCTGCCCCAGATGGTGGGGCCTGGGGTCCAGCCTGTGAACTTTTTCGATCGTTGTTCCCGATGGATCTCGGTTGGAGCTGAACCGCGGAACTCGTCGCGAACGCTTACCGTTCGGCTGGTGTCGTTCGGCTGTCCAAGGTCGGAGGTGGCCACGCAATGCCAATGGATTCGGGCCTTGGAGGGGAACTTGAAGACGGCGGAAAGTCGGGCAGAGCGTTTCGAAGCCTCAGGCGGAACGGCCAATGCGGGAACGGCCAGACGAAGCAAGAGAGCCCTTCTTGAGTTGCTGCATGTTTGTTCTTGGGTCGGACAGATCGGAGGTCAGGTCGGCTGCTCGCAGGCATGGCTGCACAGAAAGAAATCGAGATGACCCTGTCCCAGCTGAAGTCGTCAAATGAGGAGCGGACTGGGGTTTGGAGAAGGCAAGATGGGCGAACAGCCGCCACTTTTTGCTTCGAGATCCTGCCTCGAGTTTTCTGTCCAGATGGCTCTCTTGCGTGCTATGAAAGTGTGTACTATATAATCTATATATACAGTGTGTGGATGCAGCTGCACGGATGCAAGAATACGTGCATATAGTCAATAGTAGTATAAATTGCGCACAGTCTGAATCTCATGTGTATCTCTATTCAAGAGCCTTCCTTTTGGTTCCCTGAAACCTTCCAGGAAGTGCTGACGAGAAGTACGCGCATCGCTCAGCTGGAAAGTAAACTCGAGTTGTTGGAGAACAAGAGGGGAAGCTCCGATTCGAAGAAGGCCTGAGAGGACACAGTTCCTACCATTTCACCTGGCTCAATCGTGGGCATCCCCAAACACTGCCGCCTTGAGGGGCAAACCAGCAAACGAGCATAGCCCGGAGAACTTTTCTCTCGAAGCCGTCCTTGTGGCAAGTTGTGATTTGATTTTGGGATCAAAATCGGGCAAGTTGGGGCGTTTTTCGGCCAGTCTAAGAGATGAGTCGTCACACCCTGTCGCATTATCAACCATCTCCAGTTGCCCATTGATACTGAAAATGAACCTCGCTTTTTCTGCGCTGACGCCGCCAGATGAAGCACTCGAGCTCGGAGGGAAGCATTCGCTCAAGCCGAATCGCAGATCTGGAGAAGCAGGCAGGAAAATTCCCTGACGCACCATGCGATTCGGCCCGAAGATTAAGAAGTTCCAAGGCTTCTGTGCCAGGCAGAAGTGTTCAGGCGGCCCACTAGACTAGACTGGACTTGAAGCCGGGCCGCGCCGTTGTTTCGGGGGGGGGTCATAGTGATCTGGCTCATGCCAGTCGTCATCAGCATCCATGCCCCAATACCCGATGGAACTGGGACACCATGGACGACCATGTTGACAGTTGGCACATCCTGGCATTGTGAGACAGGCAGACTCGGAGTCCTTTTTTGTGTCCGATTGAGTTGAGACGGGTCCGCAGGTGAGTCAGCTCACCAAGCAGCTGAAGGCCACCAGGAAGGGTTCGCAGGAGGATTCCTTGCCCAACAGTGTCGTCTCGGAGGTGAGTGAGGACGGAAGGAAGCAATAGACGGATTGCCCGGATTGCGGATGGAAGAACAGCTCCCAACTCCCAACAAAGCAAGGGTCAAAAGAATAGTCTTTGGCCCATTTGTGCTGGGACATGCCAGTCTTGCTGCGTGCTGTGTTTTCTTTCCTCCACCTAGCCCATCCTCCGCAGGACCATCGGCTGGCCCGGCGTCGGGCCACCGAGTGGCAGGAGCGTTGCGAGCTCTTACGCAGGTCCTTTGATCGCCACTGGGACGGCATCACTTCGTCCCGGCTGCACCGTTCGGTCGCATGGTGCTGAAGGTTGGTGTCGCACTGGTTGGTTGGTGCAGGTTGGCATCGCTAAGCGGAGCTAAGCGGAGCTACCTTGGATGTTTGCTATGTTTTTGGTTGGGCTGCGGTTCTCGACATTTTCGGTTTAAGCCATGACAGCCCGACTGGTTCCCTCAGGCGAATCTGCTTCGCAAGATCTTCAAATCACGCGTGGTCGCTTGAGAGATGCCGAGAACAAGGCTATGCGGCTATGGCAGTGACATGAGGGACAAGCACAGGATTCTTGGGCCGAATTGCACTACAAGCAGCTCTTGTTAGGCGAACAGCACATCCTCAGTGTCTGCCTCCTTCTCCGGACTCCGGACGAATCCCATCCTCGACTCCGGACTCCGCACGTGGTCAGGTGCAGCTCTTGAATTCCGAGCTCGCTGGAATGCACCAAGCACAGGCACGCCCCCGCACGGCTCGCGTCGTGCGGGACGTCGTGCGGGACCTCGGTCGGCGTCGAAAGAAGAGCCTGTTCGGCCCGTGACTTACTGCGGCAGGCTCAAGGACTCAAGCAGGATGCAGAGGTGCTGAAGTTGAAGCAGCAGTTGCAGCAATTGGAGGTGGGAACAAGATCGAGATCAGGCTGATCCACTGCAATTGTTGAAAGATGAGGTGCATAGTATACCCTCCCAAGAATCGTGTGAGTTTTGATGGTGTTACTGGAGTTTTTCCATTGCCTCCAAGCACTTGCCACTTGACCTTAGGACCTTAGGACGCTTAGGGAGTCACGTTTCCATTGCGTTCCGAACCGGCCCTGTTCGGCAGGGTTCGCCCCGGCGGCAGGGTTCGCCCCCGGCAGGTGGAACTGATGGTGCGGAAGGAGCGTTGCTCGGCCGCCGAGGCGCAGCTCGTGGACCTCACCGCCGAGTTGGGAGTGCCTCGTCGGAGCGCGCGACGTGGTCTCGGCGGGTGGTGGTGGTCTTCAGGGCGAGGCCGGGGGGGGGGGGGCATTTCAGAGAGATGTTGGGGGTTGGCAACCGGGTTAGCCTTGGGAACTGGACTTCTTGGCTTGGGACGGTTCTTGTGATTTGGCCTTGTTTTGACACCCCAGAGGGGATGCCGTTGCACCTTGGGAACTGCCCGCTGAGGATGTGAAAGCGGCCCGAACTCGGACGTTGGACCAGTACAAGGGCTTGGATTCGGAGCTCGAAGCTGGGCGGAAGGTGAATGTAGTGAGGTGGATGGGGTTCAACCCGCCGAACTTGCATTGTTTCTAGAGGATCTTTGATTGGGCCATCCTTCTGGTGCTTCCACCGGTTCCGTCGCCTTTCTCTGTATGTATGCCCCGTTTCTGGATGCTGGTCGTTGTGCGGTGTCTGATTCGTACGGTTTCGTGTTTGGATCTCCACCCGGAACCGGCCGGCCTCGCCGCCGCGCCGCGGATGCTAGGACGGGGCTCGTCGACGGATTGCCAATGCCGACCGGGAGGTGGCCAGAGCTCAAGGCCGTGCAGGGGCAGCCTTGATATATAGAATAACAGAGATCGCTTGGGATGGTGGTTTCTGGGACGTGGCTCCGTGGCGGCGCCCATGGCATTTGAATCCAAGGTGGCTAAGGCTTTGAGCTTCTGGACTGGACACGTTTTTTTGGCATCTGCGGATGGGTCCTTTGGATGGGAGGCTCTTTGCAGGGCTTCCGCAATGCCTAGGTTGGGAGTTGCTAATGATTCATGGTAACCTCAGGATCCAGCCACCCTTATTCCTTGCTAAGCACAAGTCAGCCCGGGGGGCAACCTTCTGATTCTGACCATTTTTTTATCTCCTTACCGTAAGCGAGCCGATATGGTGGGTTGAGGTTGAGCCGGCCAGCGGATCAAGGTTGAGCCATGGGCCAACCACCCACCCCTTTGAGAGTTGTATGCAATGCAAATCAAGAGAGAGAGAGAGAGGGGTTCTTAGTTGGTTTTGCTGTGTGCTTTGCTGCTTCACCGCTTCCTTGACGGAATGCCAGGTGAGCGGCTAGAAGCGGAGCAGCGCTGCCAAGCTCTACAGTATGAGTGCCGAAGTCTGAAGAAGGACGTTTGAGACTTGCTGGCAGCACCGACATCATGATGGGCCCAGTCTAAATTCTCGTCCGGACTCTCGTCCGGGCACGGGTGTGCCTCAAAATTTGCAACCCGAGCAGAAGGGGACAATAGACTAAACACGACTAGGGTGCACATCCGTTTGTGTGAAGAAGATGGCCGAAACGGAGGGTTCGAGACAAGCCAGGTGAGCTGGATGTTTAAGCACGAAACAAGGCAGCCTGATTCCAGCCTGGTGGGATTACCATCATTCTCGTACCTCCTCCTTGGGTTTTCATGCTCCAATGCTCCATTGCTTTGGGGTGGGAACGGGGAATGACTGGAAGATCCGCCGTGATGGCAGGAGCTCCATGACACCAAAGCAGCTCTACGCCACTTGGCCATCTGAGACAGACTCCTGTCGCCTGAGCCGCCTGTCGCCGCCTGTCGCCGCATGTCGCCTGAGTCGCCTGAGTAGCAGAGAGAGATTCCAGTCTTCCAGGCTTCCCTTTTCCCTCTGCCCCAGTAGAAACCGACAGGAAGTAGCTGAAGGGTATCTAGTCCCCCCCTTGACCAAACACCGTCGGGGGGACTCCAAGACCGTCCCCTGTTCTCTGTGATGTTCGATCCTACACTGCGTACAGTGTGCCGTGTGCCCTGCATCGAACACTTCTGAAGCTCGGTGCTTCATCGGCCCCCACAACCTCCGTTGGGAAGCTGGCATTGCCGTCGTGACCGTCACCTCTCTCCCCCCAGGTGCTTTGGACTTGCCTCACCGGTCCTCCATTTGTGCTACGGCGCGGGCGGACGCTCTCGTCGAGGCGGGCTGGCGCCATCGGGCGCCGGTGGCCTGGAATGGGGTAGCGCTGTAGCGAAGCGTTCATGCTTCGTCTGAGCAGTTGGGATGTTTTTGCAAAGGTGAGGTCGACGTCCTTGGGGGGAGGCTTGATGAAGAGGGATCAGACGCCGAAGAGTGTTTAAGGGTGCGTGGAACCTTTGAAGCTCATCACGCAGCCCATGCAGGCAGGGTTGCATTTTTCCAACCTTACCGACCGGAGCACCTCCACCTCATCAGAGGCGCAGACGGGAGGAGGAAGCTTCAATGATGAGTTCATGGGGTTCTTCGGATTTTTTGATGTAAAGGCGCAAGCAGTTGAGAAAACCCCATGCCATCAGCAGCATCACGTTTGCCATGGAGTGGAGAGAAAATGGACCAGTTCGGAACTCCTAGCCTGGATGGTGACAGGATGCCAGAGTTGTTTGGTGAGCAGAGTCATACAAAGAGGGTTTGGCAGATTTCTTCTGTTCCATGGCATTTTCTATTCTCCGTCTAGTGTGCCATTTCCTCCCTGCCTGCTGCCCCGGAGGTGGACCTGGCTCCTCAACGCCTCAAGGCTTGAGTGGTGGGCGGAATGCCATGGGGGCATCCCGAAGCATGCCTGCTAGTCTTGGGAGATGTAGTTCTAACCTTCAGGTCTGTGGAGATGCCCCAACCCACCGTCAAGACCAGTCAGCCACAGGGGGTTCGGTGGTGCAAGCTAGAAGAGCATCACTCCGGGACGAGTCATGGCCGCCAGATAGAGAGAGAGAGAGAGAGGGCAAGCAAAGACAGGGCTCCTCTTAAGACTGTACTACGCCTGGTGGATACCCGGGCGGAAGCCGTCGTTCTGTGTTCGTCCGCAATTTGATTAGCCCTTGTACGTTGGTGTGGAGTGCCCTATATGGCCCATAAGGCTTGGTAGGCCCTAGATTCTACAAAAAGGGCCGTGCGCTCGGGAGGCCACTCTTTTGAAGCCCAGAGAGGTTGCAGAAGCAAAGGCTGAGCGGACAGCAGGCTTGGTCATTGGGGATGGGGAACCTGCAGGGTGCGATCTATAGGCACTTGGGCAGGGAGAGCATCTTATTAGGGGGTCTTCCCAAACATTTTGCTCGCTCTCTGCCTTTTTGTTGGAGGGTTCGAGCACCTCTTCGATCGTTGGGTGCAACATGGTGCGAAGAAACACGAACCGTCGGCAGGTGCTTTGGATGAAGCCAGGCGTGAGCTGAAACGCTCCCAAAAGGACCTGCCAACTGCTTGGCCGCGGCGCGAATCCACTCCGGTGTTCATCCCACGTCCACCACGACATCACTCAATGGCAATTGTCCACTCAATAGACTTCGAACGTGAATCCACATTGACAGCGCCTTGTTGTGTTTCTATTTTTCTATTGTCTTCCTCTCTCTGTGAGCCTTTTGAAGGATAATTATGTATCTATGTTGAGAACTGCGGGAACCTCTCCCTTGATCCTTGCTCATTTGAGAAAGCGGCAGGAAGCGGGCAGCTTGCGCCGTGAGCTGGCCGTGGCCGTGGCCAACGCCATCGCCGCAAAGGTGAGCACCGGGTCCGTGGCGTGCCGCGGTTGGGTTGGAGCAAACCGCGCAGACCAGTGGTGCCATCCACGGTCTTTCACTCTCATGTCCTACGTGCCAGATGACAAGATTGGGTTGCAAAGAATCTGCGCGTCGGGGGCGGTCGACCAGGTCGGTTGTTTGTTCTAGGCTTTACACCACAAACTTTGGGATGCCCTTTGATGGTGGTGGGATTTGAGGGAGGGTCATTTGGGTTGCCCTCTTGAACCTTTGTTTAGAGACTCATGGCGGCATCTCCAAACTGTCGTCAAGACAGCGCCATTGTAAATTGTGGGTGATTGCCACCACTGTGAGCCCCAAACTACTTTTAGTCATGTCCCCTCCTTGACAGCATGTGCCCACAGCCCACTCCAATCTCATTCATGACCACTTGGGTCATTTGACACTCACCCGGCCTCCGTCCATCCATCCCCTGTGCTGTCGCGCTGGGTGTCGACGCCAGGCCGATTCTCCACCCTCTCGGCGTCGCCAGGGAGTCCGCCTTCGCATTGAGCAGGAGGCGGCCGAGCGGCTGGCGCTGGGCTTAGGCGCGCGCGGCTGCGCGCGCGCGCGCGGGTCCGCGGGTCCGCGTGGGTGGTGGGGAGAAGCCGAGAGAAGGCGGGTGGAAAGGACGTGAAAAGAGTTGGTGAAATCTTTTTTTTTTAAATATGTATTTACTATACTTTTTGTTTATTGCATCTATTCAGAAACCTTTCCATGTTTTGAAATCAGTTCGTTTTGCCCATTCGACAGGGGAGTGATGACAAAAACGGTGAGATGCGATGCCAGGACCTGCCGACGCGTGATGCCTCGACAGAAGGACCAAGCTGAGCGGCTTAGCCGTTAGAAGTCCAAGGGAGCACGGAAGAAGTGGACCAGTGGAGCCATCATACTGAGATAATCGAAGTGGAGCCATATGATAGTGAAGTGTCACATCCAGGGCACGAAGTCTCACATCATACTGAGATAAACTCTTTAGCGATGGGAGAAACGCACATTAAGTGGGAGGGACTTCTAGGTGGGCAAAGCACAGATGCAAAGGTTGACTGTTGTCTGTTGCAGGAAGGGAAGGGGTTGAGGCAGGACTCCCCAGTACAGAGACAAAAACATAGGTTTTTCAGTAGTGATGCACGGCCCAACTTCTTGGAACCGCGTGGTCCGTGTTCCCAAATACCCTGGTGACGGCCATTTGTACACCACACACCTACTTGTGACTGTGACATCTTGTGGCCTGGCGATTTGGCCAAGACTGGAGTGCCATTCGAGCCAAGAGGGACGTCAATCCCGCCGTTGAGGTCAGACTAAGGCGCTGTTGAGCGCAGGCTTCACGCATGAGAGTGTATATATAAGTATATATATACATATACACATAGCAAAGCCAGCGGATGTCCGAATGCTTGCGTGAAGCTGTGAATTTGAATTGCAGTCCGTTGAATGAATCACAAGTTGCATCATTGCCCTGAGTTCATCATGTGGTTTTCCCATGTTCTCCCTATGTGTGGAGCAAGTTCTTTCCCAAGTGAGCACCATATGATATGATTGTGGGTCAGAACCAAGCGAATCAAATAGACCTGGGCTCAGGGCCGACCCGCAGATCCCATTCTTCACCGTGCGGACCAAAAGCACGCCCCGTCCAAGATGGGTGCCGATCATCCGCAAAGCAGGGGCCAGCAGCGTCCAGCAGTGTCCAGCTTTGGCAGAGTGATCCCAGATCTTTTTGGGCATCGCTACGAACGGAGCAAGGACGCTACTAGTAGCTCCTGGCCTTACTACTAGCAAGAAGCTACTAGGAACAAGGATGGGTGAGGCTTGGAAATCTTCCTCTTTCCCAGTGTGCGATAAGACAGTCTGGACGAGCTGGGCGGTGAAATGACCAAAGCTCGTCTTCAAGGACGTCTTCACGCCTCGACTGCCGGCCCCCGTGAAATCACGTCTTGAAGCTCAAGGCCCGCTCTTCGCCCCCAGTGGGCCAGATTTGAGGCAGAAAACCTTGCAGTGCTCCGTCTTCGAATGGCAGTGACATGGAGGGCCTTGGAATGACACACACTACGAGGAAAACCACATGGAAGTGGAAAACAGAGGAAAATGGTACTGCAAGGTGCCATTGCCACTTCCATGATTGTTCCGGGGGGTGTATTTGTTGTTGAATTTGCTGGTTGTATGTGGTTGTATTTTTGTGGTGCCGTTCAGTGGCCATATATATATACACATGACATATGTCAATTTGTAGATGGGTAGATGGGGGACACACTCAGCAGAGCAAACAGTTTCGACACTTGCAGACACCCCCAGAAGACCCACCCACGACACCGTTTTTGGTGCTTCATTTTTGTAGCTTCAAGTCTGATGGTGAAGTGAAGGCACAACATGACCATCAAAGTTTTCTCTCTGCTAGTTGGTCTTTTGTCAGCCGGACCGGTGATGATGGCCCATTGGTTGGTGGGTCAGGGTCCAGGCTTGTATTCTTGAGACAAGTTCATCTCACTCACTACCGGGACAAATGACAGAGGCCCTGAAGCCGTAGCCAAGAGAGACACGCTCCAACGCTGCTTCACACCCCCAAAGGGACCTCTTGGATGACCATTTGGGGAGTTTAGGTCACAGGGTTTAACGTACACCGTTCAGCCTCACGGTTTACTCGGCGCGACGGGCAGGGCTTGTAGATCTTAGTAGCACCAAGATGGCTGGTGCCCCAAGGTTGCAGAAGATGCCGACCTGCAGACACACGACACGGTGCCCAACAAACGACTTTCATGTATCCTACCGTGCGTCAGTGGCAGTTTCTTCTACAAATCACCGAAGAAGACAGGGTGAGCTGTACTTCTGTAGAGTTCTAGTTCCTACGCCATCGGCATCATTCAGTGTTTCCTGGGCGCATTCCAAAGCGGAATTTTTCGCCCAGACGGAATGAGCATTCCAAGTTCTAATCGTCGAAATGAGACCGAAGGAATCAACTCTCGCAGGACCCCCCCCCCTATGAAGAATTTTTTCAATCCAAAAGTTTCTTTCATCAACAGTCTACATCAGGATGCGCAGGAGGGAAGTCGCAGCGACTTCCCCGCCGGGTCGAGAGACACAGAGCACAGTGGAGAAGGACCGTGCCATCCATCCGAAGGTGCCGCTTGATTGCACTGAGCAGTGCCAAGTGCTCAGAGCCAAGGGTACGGAAGAATATTGATGCCCAAGGTTGGAGGCTGAGCAAGAAACAGGGATCGTCGACACGACACAAAACCAGGCTAGCTGCTGGCTGGGGTTTTGCATCAGAAGCAGTTGTGCGACCACACGGAGCCACCATTTGTGCATGCTGGAAGAAACAATTGCCCAGGTGGACCCTAGTGAGGTATGGTTTGCTTCCACCCACGCATGTGTGTGTATATATATATAGACACATAAGGCAAGCACTGCGACTTTGCATGATTTCGTCCACCTGCAATCTTGGAAACGCACCAGCCATCTCTGAAAGCAGCATGCTCCAAAGATGAGCTGGCCATGCTGTGCTTCCAATGTAATATGTTGTTTGATGGCACCTGGCAACTTAGATCGACGAATCGGCTCTGACTTTGAAAGCTCACATTGCAATGCGGGCTGCTCAGGAGGTTGACCTTCGTCAACCGAGGGGCTGAGATACCTACATGAGTCAACAGTTACAACATGTACATCCTTGAAAGGAATCAGGCTGTACTACTCCGGGGGTTGGCACTTTAGATTGACATTTTTGCTTCACAGAGTAGGTTGCTGACACACTCATGGACTGGTCGATGGAGTCTTCGAGATCCGAAGTAGCGCTCTGGATTTCGGGTTGCCAGGGAAGAAAGCCAACTTTCACTTTGCGGATCTGGCTGAGGATCTCTCGATCCTGAAAAACTGGCAAATGTCCATTTTCATACTGGTCGAGAACGGTGGAACCAAACCCAGCAGGCCCTCCGTGTTTTCTTTTTTTGTTTGGATTTGAGAGTTGATTCAAGATGGTTCCAAAGGCGCTTCCCCCAGATCATTTTAGAAACCCAACATGTGTTTCCAAGATGAGGTGCTATGTCAGTATTTGGAGAATGCAGATTGCTGGACGTGGGATGAAAGACTTTCTCGATCCCTCGAACAACTCACCCGGTTCGCCCTTCAAGTGTTTCTTTCGGGCATGCTTTGCTGGGTTTGGCTCGGTCGACTGGGTCGCCTGCGGTCCACGCGCTTTTCGGCCTGTTGCGGCGCCCTGTTGGGTGACCAAACTGGAGACAATCCTCGGTGGAAGAAGAGCCGAGCCGAATTGTGGGGGGCTAAAGCACTGCTGGATTGCGAGGTGCTATTCTGGTGCAACCGAGGGTTGTTCCATTGAAGGGGTTTAACTGATATAGCCTCTTGGCGTTGGCCAGTTTCGAACCAATTTGCGATGAAAAAAGCCAGCAACGAGTTGCAAATGCGTTGGGCAGTGCTTGCTGGTTGATCAGGGCATTCTCATAGAGCAACTCCCTGGGAAAGTTGTCAGAGCATGACCCACTTATGTCTACAGTATATAAATAGCTGTGCTGGTTTTGCCCCGGATGAATTGCAGTTGACACACAAAGTAAAAATAGTGCAAAATACATGTTTCACCCATTTCCACCCACATCACATGACAAACACCACTACACTGCTGGACGCTGAAGCTCCATTCTGCAGGCATTGAATGCATGCGAATGGCACATGCGGAGTTGAGTGAACTATGCTTTGATCACACGCGTGCTTTTTTTTCCACATCTCTACACCACTCTTTTGGAGCAGACGCACGAGTAATGGCAGATAGATTCGTTGCACGGGCCGGGATGCGTCGCGATGCGTGTGGCCGATGCGTCGCGAACCACGTCGCCTGGTGCCTCAGTCGCAGTCCCTGGAGATCCTTCTGTGGCACTGCTGTGCCAAAGAAGATGTGGATCTTTGGTTTGTGTTTCCGGAGGCTGCTTTGGAACTGTGGTGGATCATACCCGTCACAACTTGCAGAACAGTCTTGCCAGCCCACTATTTGGAAGACCAGGGGACCTAGGGATAGTTGGGCTTGATCAGGCTCCCTTCACAGCTTCCAACCACCAAAATCAAGGTTTTGATCGCTCACGGCAGAATCGAGAGTGGCGCATGCGAATCGCACGTGTAGTTTCACACGAGTTTACGATTTATTTGATGGTCAATGATATGTGTTTTTGGACCTTTGCGTGCGAACACGCTACACTACACAACACCATGTTTTTGCCGGGAAGAAGAAGGACTTTGAAAAGATAATCTTCTATTGGGCTACCTGTGATTTGACATTCTTGACCAGGGGGTGCTTGGGAGATGCCAACCTAACAGTCTTGTACCTTCAAGTGGACCCTACTCCACAGCAAAAGGATATACTGTATTGTTGAACGGACTGCGTGCGGTCCACGAAGACGAAGAAGACACAGAGGTCCACGGGTCCACGGGTCTGATGAGATCCGAGACCAGGAATCCGATGCTTCCAATTCAGAGACCAGCATGGTTTTCTATGGTTTTCTGTATTCTTGTGGAGACGTTTCTGTTTTCTGATGCTCCGCCACGATCCAAAACAAGCCCAAACAAGCGTTGAACTACCGCTGCGCGCTCGGGCGACACGGGCTCAAACCACTTGGTGCACCTACCGGTGGGAGGCGCATGACGACAGGCACCGCCTCTTGGGGTCGATCTCGGATGTGCCGCTGTTTGTGGACCTCTTGCACTGAGAGAGGGTTTCGGTTGGGTGGATGTGCGACGAGTGTCCGGTGACCAGTGGTCCAGTCACAGTCACGAAATCCGCGCCCTGACGAGACGCCGAAGAGAAACTGTTCGGAGTGGATGTTTTGTGGAGTTCCGCATTGCGGCTTCTGCAGGTGCATGCACCCAGGTGGGCCATTTCGTGTGGCCCTCCGAGATGTATCCACAGTCCCTGGCAACGACGGCCGGGGGGGTGGAAATGGGAGGGCTTCAGGCGCGTGTGAAATGCAGAAGAGCATCCAACCCATTAGATTTCGGCGATTTGTGGGTCCTGAAGTTAGAGCAGAGTCTTCTTGAACGTTTTTGAGATTTTTGAGTGGATGTTCGCTGCAGGCATGGTCTGTACAAGGAATACCTGGCCAAGTGCAGGTGCGGCAGTGTGTGCGACAGCCATTTGCTGAAGTCAGGATGCCTATTTGGAAGGTGTCTTAAGCACTGCAGATGGACACGGCAGGCAAAATCTTTCACCTTCAAACACTTTCTGATACTATACCAATCCTTAGGAAATTATTTGGAGGTGGGAGTCACTTAGTGAATTTTTGTCCAAATAATTAACTAAAAGTATTATTTGGCAAGTCAAGTAGGTGGTGGTACCAAAATAACTTTAACTAAAACAGTCTAGGTGGTGAAAAACAATGTTCATATGATAGATATTATTTCTATGTAAATAATTTTGAGTCAATGACCACCCACCTGTACAAAATTATTCAGAAAAAATTGAGTATATGAGGACCCACCTGTCTGGCTGACAGAGCAGCAGCTTGCAAACAAGCACCTCAGAGTTACAGCCTCGGGGCACAACGTTTTGTGGATCAAAGCTAGAAAGAAAAAAACTGTTTCATAAACATGGCGAGGCACACTTGGTCCAATGCTTTGGAAGGCATCGAATCAAAGTCTACAGGCTGAGAATGTTTGCGAGTCGAGGACACCTGCCATCTCAATAGGAAGAAATGGAGGAAAAGGAACATAATGTTGACCCAAAAACATGTACAGATAGTTGGAAACAGGGAGAAAGGTGGAAGAACAGGAACATGGCCACCAAATCCAATATATATAACTAAATTATTTGAGAGGGTGGGTGACTACACAACCACCCATTAAATGGGCTTCAATCACAGGAAACTAGGTGGAAAAGGACAGGGTACAACCTCATACAACCTCTATAATGAAATTTATTTGAGGGGGTGGGTGGCTCAGTGACTACGCAACCACCCATTAAATGGCACCAACGGGAGAAAAAGGTGGAAAAGGACAGAACAAACAGCAAGGAAACAGTGGAAGAGGAAAAGGGATGGGAAACAATGTGCAAATCCGCTGGGTTTTTGAAGATTTGGTTAAAAATAGCAAGGAAGAACCGGCATAAACAAACATCAGCGGCTTAGGGGTTCGTGTTATCCACGTAGAGCTGGGACGGTGGGACTATAGCAAGCAGCAGCAGCAGCCCCAATAATAAGATTTTTGAAGTGTGGTTGAGGTTGACTACTCAACTACCCATAATGACACTGTGCGTGGTAATCCGAGCTGAGTCAACTTTGGTCAACTTTAGGGGGGTGGGTCCCACCTAGATGGTCTCATGTCGGATCTATGTTGGAAAATGTCATGACATTCTTGAAATTATTTGTCAGACCCTGAGAGTCCAGAAATAATTTGATGCGGATATTGAGATCTCCAACCACCTCAAAATATTGTTTTGAGGTGGGTGGTACGGAGGGTGGGCCCAAGGAATGGTATATCTGATACAGCATGCGCACTGTGTGGACGACACACCTGAAGAATTCGGAAGACGTGCACACCTCAGCTGCCGCCGCTTCCAGGCCGTGCCTGCTGCGCTCGCCACAGGGCTAAAGCCAAGTCAGCCCACTTGGGCAGACATCCGTGGAAAGCTGCTGGTTTGGGGCTCAGACTTTAGAGATAGTTGCATTTCCTGCGGGCATGGACCATCGACGCTGAACATCACCATCAGCGCTGGATGTGGAACCTCTCGGGGCAGATATGGGGCTCCTTGTCCCGGCTCGACCACGCCCAGGAGCGGAGGGACACCATCGGCTCCTCCTTCTCCACGGCGCCGCCTTCGCCCGACAACTCCACCTCCACAGCGGAGCTTTTCGGAGCGAGAACAGCTCGAACGCCCCCGGCGCGCGAACGCGCGGACGCCGCGGGGGAGGTCGTGACGACTCGTGACCTGCGCGGATGGTGACGCCTCGGTTTCGCGAGATGGATCTCTCAAGGGGTCTGGTGGACAGATTGGGCGCGCAATGTGTGGAAGACCGACCAATCCCCGCATGGGTCAGTGGAGGCCACTTGGACCGTCCCCGTGGCGGGTTTCCTTCTGACATACGGTACATGATCATGCTAAGAATGGAGGTCGACACCCAGAAGGCCACCTTTGGAGGTGGGCACCTTTGACTATAAATCCTCCCCCCCTCACCCAGGCCACCCTCCTGGGCCTCCAACCTCCTCCAAGCTCCTCCTGGGCCTCCTCGACCTCCGTGGAGTTTCCCTCACAGGTTTCGCCGGGACTCGGTGAGTTCCACGGCCTCCGTGGCACAGAACCTCCTGGCGGCGCCTGGAAGAGAAGAGCCACGCGGGTTCCCCGTGCGTGGGGAACGGGGGGAAGGGATGGTGCAAAATCCGGCCAAGAAGATCCTCAACGGAAAGGTCTGAGTCATCTGGGCGATGTGGGTGCGGTGAACCGACCTAATTACTACCTGGCTTCGGCAGGTGCTTGAGCGGTTCATGCCTTGTTTGCACGCCTGAGGATGGACCCCCAACCTGGTTGAGATTTGAAATTCCAGAGGCGGGATGCCGTGAAGATCCGTGAAGTGCTCAGCCACCTTCGATGCTGAGGAAGCTGCTAGGGGCTCCTGGCATCGCTACGAACGGAGCGATCGGACGCTACGAACGGGGCTCCTGGCCGTACTACTAGCAAGAAGCTACTAGCAACCAGAAGCTACTAGTAACAAAGGGTGGTTGTGGAGCAGGTGACTCGCCACGTCGCGCGCCCGTCGTCAGATCACCGACGAGTCGTCTGCGACCCGCGAGTCGTCGGATCAGGCACCCGTCTCTCAAGAGGGCCAAGGTGCGAGACGGAAACTGAGGAGTGAAATTCATGTGTTGATTGGACTCCGAAGATCGGCTTCTTTCATTAGAAAGATTCTCATGTCATGTCCTAGATTTACAAGAAACCATCGCTACGCACGTAACAATGTCAAGAAGCTACTAGTAGCTGAGAAGCTACTAGTCATGTATCACATTCGGCGGAGGCCGTGGCACCGAGAAGGACGTGAGAAAAACCTCCAAGACCGAGGTTCAGCCCCACGCGGCGCCTGGGCAAGCGCCTGGAGAAGCACACACACACACACTCACACACACACACACGTCATATACAGTATTATACATACATATATATATATATGTATAGATATCATATATATATATATGTGATATGGGGATTTTTATCATGACACGCTCAATGACCCCTACACACTCATGACAACATCCCGATACAACCTCCCCATATGTGATATGTGGATACTGGATATGTGTATATATATATATATATATCATTCTTGTTCTACATATGCGCATGCACATGCACGCATATGCGAGCATGTTATATACACAACATCAACTCTCACGATTTGGGACAGGCCTCATCTATGCCACCAACTTTGGTATATTTATGCGAGGGCTCTGGGGTTGATGTCCTTCCGTTGCTTCGTCACTTTCTCCGCTGACCGTGCTGCGTTCGTGTGGCTTTGCCAAGGGCAAGGTCGTCGTGTCTGGTCCAAAACCCTCAGGTGGGCGAGCTGCACCGGAGAGGGCGGGCGGAAGGGCAGAGCCTTTTTCGACACAAAGAGAGGCTGTGATGGACCACTTCTTTCAATTGAACGCCCCCCCCGGTAAGGCCATCTGGTGTGGGAGGAATGTCGTCTTCCTTCGTTTTCCAAGGGCTACTTCCTTTTTGAGGGAGGATTGGATCCCTTTGGGTGGGGTAGCCCGGCGGCCGGACGAAGCAAAAAAGAGTTCTTCGCGCTGCCAGCGAAGATGCATGGGATTTGCACTGTGTTTTGGAGTTTCCTGGCCCGCCAGGTGTGGCCCGAGCCAAGTCTCCCGAGGCACGACCCGGTGGCTCCAACCAAAAGATCTTGGTGCGCTCGAAAACAGGTGGGCGCGGCCGGACGCCGATCGGGTTTGTGGGCGCGGCCGCTTGGGAGTAGTAGCAAGAATGCTCCGTTCGTAGCGATGTCGGGAGCCCCTAGTAGCTTCTTGTTTGTGTCCGAACCCAAAGGAAGGAATCAAGAATTCCTGCCGGATTGCCCTTGCGATTTATAAGGAGTCGCGAGTCACAGGTTTTTTCTCGCAGCAAGCTAAGTGGGGAAGAACGAATCCAGGCAAGACAGAGGAATTGCCCCACGGCTGCCGCCTGCCCATTGCATGCCGACCCTTCGGACCCATTGCAGACTTGGAGTAGAGTTGTGGATTAGGCTCTGAAATACCATCGTCATGAATCGTCATGACGTTGAGACCGAAAACATGCCGACGACGATGCCAGGTGTTGAGCCGACTGTGGCTGCCCGTGCAAGGGAACTTGTGAAGGCAAAGACCCAGCAGGGCCTCGCAGCAAGGCCGCGACTTGGACAACAAAACGTCTCAGACTGGTTGGGCTTTTGGTCTATTGGGTGAACAGTCACAGCAAATCAAGTCCTCTCTCAGTGGTCTTTGCCATGTTTCGCCCCAGTCAGCAGAAGACTATAAACGGACTAAAGTCACACGAAGTATCACGCTAGGAGTCTCGAGGGGACTCCTAAAGGATCCAAAAGGCATTGCGTTTGCAGCCCCAAAAAACATCAAAAACCACTTCGATCTCTTCCCATCCACGCTCTTCTGGTCTTCGCCTCTCTTTCGACCTGCCGCCCTCGACCGAGGCGTGGCCAGAGCCCGGTGTCTGTGCTCCGAGCAGCGCCTCGCCTGGTGGTGCCGCCTGCCGAGACCAAGGGAGGCGCGGCGCCAACGGCGCTCGTGTTTGTGCGTGATGGAGCGGATTACCCCCCGGTCCCCCGGTCCAGAAGGCTGTGACATCTCGGCCTGGGGTAGTTTTGTTCATCAACCGTCACAGGCCTGAGGTGCGCTTTGCGGCGTGATCACATCGGGGCCAACACATGCCCCTGTGATTCGGTTCACTTTCAGCGTTGTTTTCATGACCACTTGAAGCATGATTCGCCGCCGATGCATGTCCGCCGCCATTTAGGGGACCCTTTTGCCTGACGCCTTTTGAAGGCGGTTCGCTACGTGTTTTGCACTGGGCGCCATAGGTGGTGCCACTTGCTCGACGACCTTCGAGCGCTACTCGGCGCTTGGACCACGGAAAAGATCGCTTTGAGAGCGCCTTTGACTTCGACCCGTTTTTGCTTGCTTTGTCGGTGGTGGTCCGCATCCACCTGTTGTTTGGGCTACCAGTATCACACTGATACTGGTAGCGGAGCCTGCAAGGCTCGGGCTACCTTGGAGAGCGAGAGGATCACTCCGGAGCTCTTCAAGAAGAGGTGCACGAGTTTTGGATCCAGGGGACAGTGGCTGGTGACCCTTTGTTGAAAGGTGGCTAGACTCATTGCACGAGACATTGAGGACCGCCTCGGCACTGGCTAGCTTGGCTTTGGACCTTGGCTCATTTGTTTTGGGTTGGTTCGTACTTTGTCCTGCACACCTCCCTCCTTCTCGACTACCCCATCCTGAAGTTCAGTCATGACTGAAAAGGACAAAGACACGTCCTTGAGGTGTCACTGGGACGGTGACTTTAGCACCTGGCCGGACTATGTGAGAAAGGTCCGCTTGGCATTTGAAAAGACGCGACGCCGTCGACGAGCACAACTTGGACCCGACCTGGTGTCCCAGCTCTCGGGACGCGCCTGGGTCGTTACGCAGGAGATTGACTACAAGGCCCTGACCCAGGCTAATGGTGCTCGCTACTTGATATCCTTCTTGGAGGAACGCCTTGCTCGAGTTCCCATCCCTGACGCTGGCTCTCAGGCTGAAGCTTTGCTGTTGCGGCTACGCCGTATGCCAGGTACATCCATGGCAACTTGGTGCGCTCAAGTCCGAGAGCAGTACCGGAAGCTGCAACGAGCTTTGAAGCGTGCTCGAGGAGATCTCCCTGATTTGAAGGGTGTTGGAACTACATCATTGCCATCCTCGAGGGCACGTTCATCTCCCGAGCCAGCAGCTGAAGAAGGGACTGAAGCTGAGGAAGCTCAGCGAGCTGCTGAAGATGATGAAGAAGATGGAGAGCCGCCTCCTCCGAGATCTCCAACTCGCCACTCCTCCAAAGGTGGCAAATCTGGCAAAGGCAAGGAGGACTACCACTCTCCTTCCCGGGGCTCCCGTTCCGACCCGTGTGACAGCGAGGAGGACCCCGAGAATGACCACTTTTGGGACGACCTGGATGTTGGCCTTCCTGAAGTGCTTCCCAGTGAACTGATTGGTTGGATCATGCTGCGCAAGTCCTCTTTGAATGCGGCCCAGCGTTTGAATGTCCTCTCAAGCATTGGCAATTCCTTGAAGGCCGACGACATCGAGAAGGGCTTGAGAGGAGCAGAAGACGAGCTTCGTCTTGTGGAAAAAGAGCGCGAAGGCCGTCCAAAAGGCCATGGAAAAGGTAAGACCCGTCCGCAGTTCTGGGTCGAGTATGAGGGCGAATGGGGCCTCATGCTCACTGGTGAATGTGAAGATGAAGACCTCCTGGAGAATGACATCCATTGGCTTGGTGGTATGTCCTATGACCAGGTCTTTCAGACTTCAACCTGGGAGAGCTCTTCGACCTCACGACCTGAGATTGAGGAGACCTTTGCAGCTGATGATGGTTTCTGGGCCTCAGATCCTTCAAGCCCAGGAGCCTACTTGTGGTGGAACTTGGAAGCCGATGGTGAGTACTATCACCAAGATGCCAGTGGAGCGTTCTGGTCATGGTCAGAGGCCGATGTTTGGAACTCTGTTCTTTGGAGCTCCCCTGAGGAATCGAAGCCCATTGTGGAAGCCTACGCGGCCTATGAAGAGAAGATCAGGTCTTTCCAGGACAGCCGCCGTGCGACCCATGCCAAGAATGCTTCTCGAGGCTTCTTCCCCAAGGGCAAGTTCAAAGGGAAACCATCTTTTGGAAAGAAAGGTGGAAAAGGAAAAGGGCTTGGTTCGAGACCTTCATCGTCGACTTCGCCTATGGCATCTTCACCGGTGATGGCCATCCAAGGTGGCGGAAAGCCGGGATCCCCTGGCTACCAAGGCTGCTTCATTTGTGGAGCAAAAGATCATGACTACCGCTCGTGTCCTCGTCGGTCACGGAGCGGCAAAGGTGGCAAGGTGTTCATGGTGACTGATGAGCACGAATCTGTGGAGACCTTTGTTTGCCACCCTCTTTCACATCCTGAGCGGCCTCTGGAGATCATGGTCGCTGATGAGATTGGTTCACCAGAGGTGGAAGGCTATGGAGTGCTCGACACAGGAGCGACAGAGACTGTTTCAGGGTTGGCTGCCCTGGAATGGATCATGCACAAACGGCACCAGTCGGGATCTGATGTCGATGGATTCCAGGTGGTTGATGTGCCCAACAAGATGTTCAAGTTCGGCAACGGCGTGACCCAGAAGTCTGAGAGTATGATTCTCTTGCCTCAGCGTTTGGGCAACCACCGCCTGTCGCTCGGCATTTACACCTTGGAAGCTCAAGGTGTCCCTGTTTTGGTTGGCATTCGCACGCTCACCAAACTTGGTGCGCTCATCGACTGTGGCAGATCTGCCATGGTCCTGACGGCGATTGATGCCTCCCTCCTTGTTCCATTGAGGAAATCCTCTTCGGGGCATTTGGTGATGGACCTCAGCCATGACTGGTTGAGTGAGGGCACCCGTATCCTCTTCACGACCGACACTGCACCAAAGAAGTCTGAGGAATACATGTGCTCGCAGCCTTCTTCGTCGTCATGTTTCATGATCCATGAGTCTGAACAGTCTTCACATGCCGCCACTTCGAGTTTGTCGGTTTTGCTTGATGATTTTGAGTTGGACATGTACAAGAGTCTTCACGGGCATGCTGCAGATGAGTTTTTGAGTGAATGTTTTTCAGTTCGTTTTTCTTCGACCACCTCCACTTCTTTGAGACCACCCTTGACCTCTGGAGCGAATGATGCTGACCTTGAGGCTCAAGAGACATCAATGTCGTGGAAGGCTCTGACCCTTCTGGCCTCCACCGCGGTCAACTTCGCCTTGCTGGGTAGCCATGTCCCAAGCTGCTGCTTCGAAGGCCAAGAGCCACCGAGCAGCCTCCACCAAGGAGAAGAAGAAGGCTACGTCCAGCAAGGACGACAGGTACGACGAGACTCGTACGGTGCTCAGCGATCCACGAGATCCCAGGACCTTGGGACCACCGTGCCACGGTCAGCACGATCCTGCTCCAGCATACAAAGGATCGGTCACGGGCTCCAACGGCCATGCAAAATGGGTCGGCTGTGCGAAGTGCCTCCTCCGCCTGTCGTACACGCCGGCGTACGGGGCAACAGGTCTGCACAGGCAGGCCGGTCCCTTGCCGGAGGACACGAAGCACCAGATCGAGGAACTTGGAGAGAAGGCTCCATACAACCCCTTGTTGAAGAATCAGGCAGTGGGCCTGGACGGAGCCGAGCGTTCCTTGCTCACCAAGCTCGATCACATCCGTGCTCGCAAAGCAGCGACAGGGTACTATGCTCCTCCAACTCCGAGCACCAATGTGACCTCCAGTCCGGGAACACCTACGGCAACAGAGAGGGCGTCTCCAGCAGATGCAGAGGAACTCTCACAGGTGCCTGGGAGCAAATCCCGTCGAGCTGCAGACCTTCCGGCCGAGCAGGTGGAGTACGAGGATCGATCTCACCGATCGTGGTCGCCAGTCTCCGCCCGGTCAGTGTGAACAGCGAGGAGTCGGGAGGTCGCTACGACGATGAGGACCCACCGGGTGACTTGACCTCCAAGGACGACATCCTCATGAATTCGAATAAGCTGATCTCACCGAATGTCAGGTTTTTGAAGAATGCCCAGGTTCCACCGAATGTCAAAGTCCCTCCGAACCAGTTCAAGACTGAGAATGCCCATGGCATGAAGGTTGGAGAAGCATTTGATTCCTTCTCAGCGGACGGACTACAACCTGGTGAACCTGAAGGTGAAGATCGCACCATGACTCCATTCCCACGAAAGGAGTTCGCTTTCGTGACGGAAGCTATGAATGAGCTGGTTGAAGAAGGTGATATGATCTTCAAAGCTCATGGCGGAATCACGTCCCTGGAGCAATGGGACGTCATGGAATTGTGTTGTGACCCCACCAGCTTGTTGACCGAGGAAGTTATCAGGCAAGGTGGGCGAGCAGGGCGTGCTGGGTTACACAACCAATGTGACCTGACAAAGCCTGAGGGAGTTGAGCGAACTTTGGCACTACTCCGCCAACATCGACCACGTTGGATTTGGGTCAGCTTTCCTTGTGGCCCTACCTCGGCAGTTCAAGCTCTCAATGAACGCACCCCTGAAGCAAAAGTTAAGAGTGCCTACCGGAAAAGGCATGCGAGAAAAGTTCTTCGAGGTGGACTACGAGTTCTACAAGAACACCTCTCCATGGATGGCGAGATCGCCTGGGAATGGCCAAGATTCAACAAGGCATGGCAACTTCCCGAAGTGGTTGCCTTTTGGGAAGCTCTTCATCAATGTGACCGTGCTCACGAAGTGCTTGGCGATGGCTGTATGTTTGGCCTCACGTCTCCAGATGGTCCTGTGAAGAAGCCATGGAGGTTTATGACCACAAGAGCACGAGCCTTGGCTGGTTTGGCAAGACTTTGTGATGGTTCGCATCACCATGTCCCTTGCCTTGGACAACGTGCTCGGGCCTCCGCCTACTACACCAAGCAGTTGTGCCACATTGCTGCCAAAGGCATGTTGGAACCCTCCGAACTCATTGGAGGGATTGCTGAAGTTGAGCCTGATCCCCAGGTGTTGGAGAAGCTCACACCTCAGGAACTACAACATCTCATGGAGACAGTGCGCAAGCTTCATCGTCTCTGCGGCCATCCAAACAACCGTGCCTTGCTGAAGCTCCTACGTGCGAGAGGAGCCAGTGAAGAACTCAAAGCCGCAGCTCTACAGTTGGCTTGCCCTGAATGTCAAGAGAGCAGAACGGCAACGCCTGCCACCAAGGTGTCTTTGGAGCGAGAGGATACCATTTGGAAGACACTTCAAATGGACGCCTTCTACTTCAGGCATGCTAAGCAGGTGCATCACTTCCTCCTCCTGCTCGATGAGGCTAGCTCCTTTGCCGTGGTGAGAGAGATCAAGGTTCACCATGAAGATGAATCTGAGAACATTTCAACCCCAGAGGTCATCACTACTCTGGAGGAATCTTGGTGCCAGATCTTCGGCTACCCGGCACGCATTAGATGTGATGCTGAAGGGGCATTTCGCGGCACAGCTCTCGCAATGTGGTGCTCCGAGCGGGGCATTGAGATGACTCATGTTCCTGCTGAACATCATGCCGCCACGGGAGCTGTTGAGAAAGCGATTGGAGAGCTTCGCTGGAAGATGGAAACCTTTCTCCGGAACGAGCCCATTGAACCTCGACGTGCGGCAAGTGCGATGGTCCAAGCTCACAACCATGTGGTTCGCGTGGGTGGTTTTGCTCCTGCGCAATGGGCATTTGGGCGATTGGAAAGCGTGTCAGTGAATCCTGCAGCGGCATGTTCCGAAGGAACACCTGGACACGCTATGGCTGAAAGTCTGAGGCTCTGAATTGAAGCAGAACATCTTCACAACAAGCTCAGTGCTGATGCTCGCATTTCGCGAGCGAAGAACAGCCGCTCCAAGCCTGCTCGACAGTTCTTACCTGGAGATGTTGTCTACTACCAGCGCCATAAGGTTCCTCGACGGGCTCCTGCCAACGAGGATGTGGACATGCCCCGCATGCGGATTGCTCGCTGGTATGGGCCTGCTAGAGTCTTGGCCTGTGAGACAAGTGGACAGTTCCAGCACTTCTCGAATGCCCTCAAGCGTTATTTGGTTGGTAAGCTGTGGACGCTTGCTTAAGGCTCACATCGACCAGATTCGGCACGGCAGTGAACGAGAATTGCTGATTGCCAACTCCTCTGGCATGATGGCCATGCCATGGACCTTTACGATGATGAGCACTTCACTCCAGAAGGGCGCCTTTGAGGACCTCACAACTTCGAAGGCTGAGCGATTTGAAGCCAAAAGGAGACAAACCTTTCGCCCATTTCATCAAGATGGCAAGAGGCTGAAAACAGTAAGAGAAGAGGAAGATCCTGATGATCCTGCCAGCTCCTCGTCTGAAGAACTTCTTCCTGACTCGGAGGTGCACATGGATCCAACTTTGAAAGAAGGTATGCACCCTGATGATTCAGATGAGCTGGACATCGATCGCTTGCTGAACGACCCCTCCTACATGCCACTTCATCCTGTCGAACCTCCTGACGCTCCCATGGAAGAAAGCAGAGCTTCTGCCGAAAAGAGCTTCCAGCATCAGAGGAAGCGACATGAGATGGAGGATAGACCACACCATGCCAAGTTCCCGAAGAAGTACCAAGACCCTGACTTGATTGGCTGGTGCTCCAACATGGAGAATGACTTCATCCTGTCGGTGACCATTGACGCACCGGCCAATGAAGATGAGTGGAGGCAGATCTTGAAAGAGCCAAAGAAATTTACCTCCAAGGCAGTCAAGAAGGGCTGCGAAGTGGCTTGGCGCAAGCTGAATCCCGTCCAGAGGCAAGCTATGCTGGAGGCAAAGATGTTAGAGGTGGACTCCTGGCTCGCCAATCGAGTTTGTGAAAAGGCTGGAGCATCAGTGCCCAAGTCCAGGCTCATGAAAATGAGGTGGGTCTTAGTGTTTAAGGCCGTGGACGATCCAAATCAGCCCAACCGTGTCAAAGCGAAAGCCCGCATCGTCATCTTGGGCTTCTCTGACCCCGACCAAGAGTTCCTGGACAAGGCTGCGCCAACTCTTTCAAGACGCAGCAAGATGCTGTTGCTGAACTTGGCGTGTCATCGCCATTGGCGCACCATCAAGGCTGACGCCAAAGCTGCCTTTCTCCAGGGCTCCGAATCTCAACGGAGCCGAGGAGTGTTTGCGCTCCCTGTGAAGGAGCTTGGTGACAAGATGAACTGTGGCCCCAAGGACACCGTCCGCCTTTTGCGAGCTGCCTACGGCCTTGTTTCAGCACCCCGTGAGTGGTATCGCGCCGTTGCCAGTCATGTTGACGACTTCATTGTCACCGGCAACGAAGACAATGCTTTGTGGCATGAAACGCTACAGAAGTTTCATCAAGCTTTGAACTGGAGTCCCTGGGAACCAGATCCTTATCTGCATTGTGGAGTGGAGATTCATCAACAGAGCAACGAGAGTTTCCACCTGGACCACTCCCAGTATGCCTCCCAGATCAAGCAGATTGACTTGGACAAGTCCACCACTGAGGTGACGCCTCAAGAGCTCTCACAAGCTCGGGCCGTCCTCGGCTCAATTCAGTGGCGTGTCAGTCAGACAGCACCTCACCATGCTGCCCGCCTTTCCTTGCTGCAGTCCATGCTGCCCCACAGCCGGCACTCCAAGGATGTGCTCCGCCAGATCAACAAACTGGTACGCGAGGTCTACTCGCAAAGAGATTTGTCGGTGAAAGTTCAGCAGCTCGACGCCATGTCAGATGGCGACCTGACGATGATCGTCTGGACAGATGCAGCTGTGGCCAACAGGCCAGATTTGGCCTCGACAGGTGGCTATGTGGTGGGTCTCTGCCACAAGAGGATCCTGGATGGTGAAAGATCACCAGTCAACCTGGTGGCCTGGCGCAGCGGCAAACTGCACCGCACAGCGCGCAGCTCCTTGGCAGCAGAGCTTCAAGAGGTGAGCAAGAGCTCATGTTTTGCAGAGCTTTATGGGTCCTTGGCTACGAGATGAACCTGTTGCATCCCGAGCTCACGACCACCAAGGTGAGCGCAGCAGCTGTCATCGACGCCAAGAGCGCCTTTGATGCCTTTCACCAAGGCGATGGAGCAAGTGCAGCTTTCTCCATGAAGGAGAAGTACTCGGCGCTCGAGCTTCTCGCAGTTCGCGAGAACATGACCAAGCAGAAGACCAACCTGCTTTGGGTCAGTTCAGATGCCCAACTAGCTGACGGCCTCACCAAGGCCAGCGCGGCCGACCTGATGAGGATGTTCATGGCCAAAGGTCAGCTGTGGAACGTGAAGTACGACCCTGGATTTGTTGCCGCAAAGAAGAAGAAGCGGCAGCTGCCTGAGAGCCAACCGGAATTTGACCCTGAGCTCATCGAAGATGAGACCTGGTCCTCCATGATGCAGCGGTGGAATGCATCTAAGGCGAAAACCTTTCGCCCATGTGATTCGGTTCACTTTCAGCGTTGTTTTCATGACCACTTGAAGCATGATTCGCCACCGATGCATGTCCGCCGCCATTTAGGGGACCCTTTTGCCTGACGCCTTTTGAAGGCGGTTCGCTACGTGTTTTGCACTGGGCGCCATAGGTGGTGCCACTTGCTCGACGACCTTCGAGCGCTACTCGGCGCTTGGACCACGGAAAAGATCGCTTTGAGAGCGCCTTTGACTTCGACCCGTTTTTGCTTGCTTTGTCGGTGGTGGTCCGCATCCACCTGTTGTTTGGGCTACCAGTATCACACTGATAGCCCCCCAAAAATAGATCACGCGGAGCATCATGTAGACTCGTGATAAACAAAAATAGAATGCTCCCCATTTGAATTGAAGGAGCTCTTCATCTATATTTTCATTAATCATTCTGCAACTGGATGCTGTACAGGAATGGCACCCCTCTGGTCACTTTGAGGCGATTTGAGTGCATCGGCCCGAGAACGAAGCGAATCACATAACCCGTGGTTTTCTCGTTTCGTTCACTGGTGGATGGTTGGATCGGACCTCCTTTCCTTGACCCCGTTTGGCTACACACCTCCATGCCAACGTGTCACACCCTGAGGCTGATAGGGAAGCAAGTTTCATCACAGAACGAGGAACATGTGATGACATCACTAAACAAATCTGCCAGTTGGCAACGGCCACCAATCCACCTGACACATCCACCATCAAGAACTCTCACTCTCTGATGAGACATATATCGATGCGCGTGTGCGTGCATTTATCTCTTGCCCAGAGGTCACTTGGTCCTGACAGTGGATCGGAAACAGATTTAGCATCAGTGATTCAGCCAAACTCCTTTCTTCAATGCTGGTTTCCCATCGTGGAGGGAGGCAGCACGTGGACGTTCATGCGTGACTGACTCGAAATCGCAACGTTGCTGTTCAAGACCCATCTCTGCTCCAAGTGCTTTCATCGGGACGGACAAGAAAAAGAGCTTTGCAAGGTTCATGAAGGACTGCACGAATCACGGCTGGAGGATTTTCGAAACACATTGGAACAGCAACCTGACGTCCGAGCGAGCGAGCACAAATGTCTGATCTGGTCACTGGGAACCAACGCCGGCGACCTCCGGTGTCCCAAAGGAATAGAGACGTCTCGGTGGCCTGAGATCACAGTCTGATGGAGTGCTCTACACCAAACCCTCCTGTTTTTGGCCCAACAGGTGTCAATTACGTTGCTCTTGAAACATGCTGGTTTTGTGTATGCGTGAGCAATATTCCTTGCATGGATGGTGAGAAACCTGGACACCCTTTGCCTTTGCCAACTCCAATCCCTTGCTGAGCAATCCCTATGCAAAAAGAGACGTGTTTCCTATTCATCAGGCCACGTGGATGGATTTGACTCATGGCCAACAGCTTGAACCAATGATTACCATCCTTGCCTGGGCTAATTCCTGTCTGACTTGCTGGCCGTCTCCCATGTTTTGAGCTAGCACGAAACATTGTTGCCATTCCCGCGGTGAGGAGATTCCTTGTTCTGCCCTGGCTGGCATTTGAGCCAGTGTTTGCAGCTTGAAACCCTGTTCATCCAGAGGGTGGTGTGTTGAACCTGACGGTACCTGTATTGGGATGGCAGTGATATTTTCTGATGGATGACATTGAAGCATCTTTTGAGCTCACATCATTCTGGACAATTCATCTTGAGCTTGCGCAGACACCATCGATCACAGACACCAAGCAAGCACGGCGTTTGGTTCAAACAGAGACACCTCTTCGCAACGCGGGTCTCCGACCAGCGGCCTGCGTCAGGACCAAGGTCCCATCGATCGGACCGTGCGGCGTTTGGGGCTTCGTCTGCGCTCCAAAGCAACCGAAGGCCCTGGCCAAAGCGTTCTGGCCTGGAAGGATTCCATGTGATTGTCAGGAGAACCACGCCAACTGTCATCTTCAATGAGATCTTCGTGAATCATGCCGAGATGACGAGTCTTCTTCCTCCTCATCCTCGTGTCAGTTCTTGGCTTCCATCCTTTGAAAGCTCAGTCGACACCAGAATGCTCGGCCGAGCATTCCTCATACTGCAACCATGCAACTGTTGGAGGCCACTCCAACAGCACCAGGATGGTCCTGAACCCGAAGGGCCACGAAGCACCCCGGACCTCTCTGTCAACGACGCCCATGTCGCGTGCAGCATTCGAAGGGCCGAGGGCCCGGAGGGGCCCTTTGGGTCGTTTGGGCCTGCACGAGCGGCCAAGGAACAAAGCTGGATGGAGGTGGCTAGCATCATGCTTCATGAGTCTGAGAATGTTCAGATGTAGACCTGAAAGCCGTGAAAGCCGTGAAACATGTCAACTGGCCAACTGGCCCAAGAATGCGATGGGATTGGCGGAAGTCCCGCCAAAGGCAGAGAAACTGTTCTGCAATTTTCTGGGGTGTGACGAGCGAAGGTAGATCAAGGTTTGAAGACGTTTGCAAAATCCCTTCTTGTGCTTTTGTTGTGTGTTCTTTTTTCCTCCTCTTTCATCCGACGCTTGGACAGGTAGCCGCCCTGTGGAGCGCAAGCTGATGACACCACCAGTGTCCAAGAGTGGCCCTGGCACACCCAGTGGTCCCAGGAGCGTTCCTGGCACCCCTAGTGCACCGAAGAGCGCCCCTGGCACGCCAGCACCGAAGAGCGTCCCCGGAACACCCAGCGCGCCGAAGTCGGCGGGCAACTCACCAGTCAAGCGGCCGAGGGCTTAGGAAGCGTTGCATCCAGCAAAGAAGTCAGGTTAACGAGAGGATTTTTCTTTGCCGATTTCTTTGCAGGCAGCCACCCTTCTTTTGCCCCGCCCCAGACAGCATCCCACGTCGAGGATCAGTGCTCCACCATCGCCTAAAGCCTTGGCAAGAGCAGTGTCTGCAGTTGTGACGTGGCTGGATTGGGAGGGTTGTGGTATTCACTAGTTTCAAGTTTTCTGAAACGATGATAGACTGATAGACTGACTAGACTAGACCCTCGAAACTGGACTTTCTACCAGTTCAGTGCCCTCCAAGGTGGCCCCTCCATGCGTCATCGGAGTTTTCCAAATTTATGCGTGGACTGTTGATTCAAAACTCCCCCATATGGAGAGGCTTTGAAGCCCAGACAGGGGTCTTTACGAATTGCCAGTGCATCAACCTTAGGTGTTCCAGCATAAATGCCGCTCCATCCATGCCCAGGCTGCCCGTGTCTCTCGCAGTCCGGTGGCACATGAGAGAGTTCGAAGTGTTGAGGAGCCCGATTGGGAATCCAGAGAGTACACTCTGGGACCCTGAGGATGGATGAGGATGGCACCCTGAAAGACCGTGTTCCCTCTACAAAGGGTCCATGTGAGTTTTCAGGGTCCAGTTTTCGGCGGGGCATGTCTTGATACTTGAAGAAACCATGGAAGTGGAACATGGCCCCGAAAGGAGGACGGTTTCCTCTACTCACAGGCCGTTTCCATGTTGCAGGGAGGATGCCACGACAGGCATTTATTTAACCAGATTTCAGCTTTGTCGTTAACCCTTGAAAGCTCGGCCTTTCTTCGACCTTCAACTCCTTTGCTCAGAGCTCCTTGATTTATGCTAGCGGCTTCCATTGCATCCCTTCGTTTTTCGCTCTGGTTCGGCCTTCATAGTTGCTAGATTGAATTGCTCGCTCTGGTATCTCGCTGTTTAACCATGCCATCAACATCTACGTAGCATAATTCATAATTCATCGGTTATTTTGTGGCATCACTTCGACTCAAGTTTGTGAGAGGGGGTAGCCCCTTGTGTCAAAATCGTTTGGCATAGCATGGCTATGTACCAGAGCCCCTCTGACCGAGCTTGGTTCGTAAGCCTGGCTTGGCTCCGAAACGCCACGCCATTTGCACTCCAGCTAAACCAAGGAGCAGCAATACCGATCCCCAAGAGATGTTTAAGGATTCATGTATGCGCCCTAGAAGTCCAAAGACTATATTTGTTGTTGAAGGCAGTAAAGGATAGTAAAGGAAACTCCCTCTCAGGTACCCTAAAGATTTCCGACACCTTGTACCATTTAGGGTCTCGGGCCAGCAGCCAGCATCCAATATCCAATATCCTCAGGCTGAAGCTCGCGTTCAATCTGAAGTTCTGAAAAAAGCCCACCTTGCGGTTCGTGCAGGAGATAAAGCCAATCAAGAAGCTTGTGACGGCCAAGACAACGGGGAATGGAAGGCTGGAAAAGGAGGCAGATGAGACGCTGCAGAGGCTCAACGGTCACTTGCCTGTGGGTCAATTCGTGAATCCTGCAAACTGGGGTACATTCTTGATTCATACCCACATGGGTTGCATAACATGCGTTCGGGCAAGCAACCTATTTACTGTAGGTAGATCATCACTCTGCTGTGCCAGTATTTTCGCTTGCGCTGTTGGATTGGCAACAACATCTCTGTGTTTGCCAGCACTCCAATTGGTGCAAGATGCTGTGAAGATGTGTACCATGACGGCCCGCCTTGGTGACCACAGGTTGTCCCTTTAGGTGTCCTAACATGTCCTAACGCCTTGTTCCATACCCCTCGTGGACCCAAACTAACCTCCGAATCGTCGAGCCCGTGGGTGGCGCGTGGCGCCGGCTTGTCGTGGGGCGTGACGAGGGAGCTGTAGTGAACTGTCGTGCTGTCGGAAGGGTTTGGAGGCAGCTTCACTCAGGTGATGCCAGCTTGATCAGAGAGGTCTTGGATGACAAGCAGAAGCTGCAGAATTATTCCAGGCTCGCCGAGGTCGTTGGAGCAGGGAGAAAGGCCTGTCAGGTCCTGTCAGGTGTTTCCCCAACATGTTTCGGACAAATGCCTCGAGCATGCCAGCGCAAGCAGTCCACATAGACCCGGAAAACGCTGTCGCCTGTCAAAGCATGACCTAGGCGGGGCCACGGCCTGAAAACGCACAAAAGTCCCCGCCAGGTCTTGTTTCTGTGGTGCTGATGGAAATGGTGACGGCGAGCTTAGCTGCATGGCGTTCAGATTGTTGAATGATCAACGAACTTGATATTGCCATGTCATGGTTTGGTGAATTTGAATCCTATGGAGCTGACAAATGTTTCCCCAGTTCCCCTGTTCAAGAGATCTTGGGCCTTCTGCTGCGCATATCGTTCAAGGCTTCGAAGAGTTGTGCCGCTGCATGCAGAAGATGAACGCGGAACTGGGGATCGGCAGCTTCACGGAGCGACATGTGCAGCACTACATGCACCGCTTTGACACCGATGGGGACAAGTTCCTGAATCAGGACGAGTGCCTTGCCATGTTTCGACCAATGTGGACTCTTTCGACCAATGGGCTTTGATGATGAATTCAGATGTCCCGGCTACATAGCGCTTTTCTACAAAACACATAGCGCTTTTCCCAGCAGAGGGATGAGATGCACAGCGGCACCGGGGGTCAGGTGTTCCGTTGAGTGCTCGCATGTGCTCCTGTTGGGGCTTGGTTCATGTTGGTTCCGTTGAATGTGTTGCCGAGGTTCCAGGAACTCTACCGGGCGCTGCTGATCGTGAAACTGGAGGAGGTGCGGACACCAAACGCGGCGGTGTGATGCGCTGGACTCGGAGTTGGGGTGGGGGCCCCTGTTGAATTGTTTCACTTTACAGCCTTTCGGAGCCCAGAGCGGGTAGATGCATTTGGCCCAGTTTCAGGCACAGCCCCAGCCAAAAGGAAATACAAAGAGTGTCAGCGTGTCAACTCAGCCCGCCCATGCCTGCCCCATCATTCGCTGACGCCACGCCCCCGCTCCTCTCCCGCTCTCCGCTTCTCCGTCTCCCGCACGACGCACCGCAAGACGCACCCGTACGCACGCCGCGCTCGCGTCTTCTTCCGCCGGAACGGAGGTGGAACCGGTGGACCTGTCGCGGAACATGTTCATCAGCCGCCGCAAGGCCGGAGAGATGCCAACAACGAAGACGAGAAGCGGAGAACAGCCGGGGCAGTATCTTTTTGGAGTGGTGCGACTGGAGTTATGACCTGTTTGATTGGTTTCTTCAGGAAGTTGGGTATGTCATGTCCAAGTGGCATCCTGAACAAGAACTTACTGTAGCTTTTGGGTTTCAATCTGGAACGAGATGGAGTGAGAATATCACTGCTTGTCCTGCAGTCTCTGTCTTTCTGCCAGGCGCCAAAGGGAGTGGTGGTGGAACCTTCTAATACCGGTCTTATGAGGTTCTCCATGCTTTTGGATGCACTCCCCCCGCCCCCCGTCAGAAACGTCTGTCACACTCTCCGATGCAGCGCGGATCGACCCCCCACCTGCCGCAGGGAAAGCCGGAGGACGACTATCGGGTGCAAGGGATCGTGGGCGTGGGCTCCTTTGGCGTGGTGCGCAAAGTGCAGCGCGGAGACCCGAGAGAGACCGACCCGAGAGAGGGGCCGACCGGTCGGAAGAGGTCCGGAAGAGGTCTGGAGGACGACACTGTGTATGATCTCTTGATGGTTTTGTTTGGAAGAGAAGTGAAGTACGCAATGGATCCTGTAGAGACAATGAAATCATTAGGATTAAACACTCTTTTTTCCCCACATATGTGCCGCGGATTGTTCCCAAGTAGATCTGGCCACAGGTGAAGACCAGGTTGGCTCTTTGTTTTCACTGTGATGAGCTGTTTGAGGTGTCGGAGCACGGGCACCATACGTGTCATGAAAGTGGTGGACAAGCAAAAGGCACTCAGTGGAGGTCTCTCTGCCGCAGGGGGGCCAGCGAGAAGAGTGGAGTTCAGGGTCTTTGAGAAAAGGTTCGGGGAGAGGGTCATCCCAAATGATCACAGGCGCAGGCTAGCATTTTCCATCACCGAGTCAGGACTGTTGTTGTGCCAGATGGATTGTCCTGTGAGTGGCTTTCTGTGGAGGGGGTCAGTCTCGCTCCATTGAGACTTCCCAATGGGCTTTTGGATTTGGATGAAATCTCCTTTGTAGGCTTGATGCATGAAGGAAGTCCCGCACGAATGCTCATGGGGGAAGTCCCGCAAGATGGGTAAAACGCATTTGTCATTTGTCCCACAAGAGTGCCGCTTAGCAACTGCTTAGATGAGAGTCCCACAGGAGTGTCGGTGCCCGGCTGTGAAGCAAAAATGTGCCAACAACAGTCTCCCACAAGAGTATCACGCAAACGCGTGTCAAGCAAGAATGTCCCACACGAGTGTCGTAGAAGAGGGTCGCCCCAAAGAGTGTCCAGTCAAAGTGTGGCACAAGAGTGCCCTACATACACCTGTGTGTAAGCATTGTTTTTGGTGTCACGTCCGTACGGGCCCCCGTGAATTTGCACGTTATTGAAGCAGACAGGGTTCCAACAGTCATTCAGGGGGGGTGGGGGGTGGGTGGGGGGGCAAATGACGTCGGTTCGTGTTTGGGTCGTTTCGTGTTTTCGCCGGTTCGTGGTTTCGTCGAGTCGCGTGTTCGTCGGGCGTTGTTTTTTTTTGAGTTTGGCAGCCGGATGTCAGACAAGAGCGCGCCGCAGACACCATCGCGGGAGGACCCGATTCTTGGTGTAAAAGTAAAATACTTTTTATGTGCTGAGATAGTGACCTCAGTCAGGCTTGCTTCGGAATGTTCGAGCAGGTTCTTTGTTGTGTGCAGATGGTGCACTTGCATGGTCGGCCGCTGCTGCCAAGTACCCTTCGAAGCGCTGGACTGTGAAACACGTCAAGCATGTGAAGAAGAGTCAATGGACTAAGACAGTGAGTGTATCGCCACCACACGCGAAACACCTGAGAGCGTACCGACTACGGCTGAAAAAAGGCCGCTACAACTCTTTTTAGACTTTTGAAACGCTCGAAACGCCACTTTGTATGGGCCTGCCCACACGAAGACGGGGGGCCCGTACGGACGTGAAACCTTGTTGTTAGATGAAGTGTCACCGCAGAATTTTCCTTACAGTTGAGTCGAGCAATTGCAGCTACACATGACTAAGCATCACAGGTTTTTCCCCAAAAGAAAGCACAGCACAGAAACAGCAAATGAACATGCAAAAGCAAAGAACATTTCTGTGTTGTGGCATTTTTCTTGTTTTTGCATTTTTTCCTGTTACCATGTCTGCACTTATGAGAACTTTTATATACCCGGCAGCAATAATCACTGTAAGTTCCTAAGAAACATGCAAATAATGAAAACAAAAAACTAAAAAGACTGGCTTAAAAACAGAAAAGCACGAAAACAAAGCGAAACACATGTGAAAAACACACAAACAAAGAAACACACATGCAACACTACATTGTTTTTGCTTTTTCGTTTGCTTTGTTTTCGCTTTAGTACATATATTTGGCTCCTTGTTTCTATGGCTACCGTGCCGGTCTCAATCTTACAGTAGTGAGTGGGTTCCTTTGAAGAGCGTGGAGCAAGACTGTCCTACAAGAGCCTACACGAGTGTCACACAAAAAACGTCAAACACGTGTGTCATGCAAGCGTGTCGCACAAGAGTGTCCTACAAGAGTGCTGCGCAAGGCGCAAGGGTGTTGCACAAGCGTGTTCCACAAGAGTGTCCTTCCAGAGTGTCACGCAAAACGGTGTCAAGTGGGGGTGTTTTTTCCCTTCAACTCGTTCGAACCGTTTTGGAAGGAACGTCGCAGCATGAAAGTCAAGCGCTCCAAGTGGGTTGGGCTCATCGCGTCCGGGGGCCGCGTGAGTGGACCGACGTGCTGGCCTGAAGGTTACCCCTTGAAACTGATCATGGAGGCCTGGGATGCACATGTTACATAGGGGTAGGTGCGTGCATGTCCACAGCAGGATTTTCGCGTTCTAAATTTTTATTGCGGCTGATATATTTATATAAATATATACATATATGTGTACAGTGTACCTGCCAGCTCTTTTGGTGTCACCTGGTTTTTGTTCAGCCTGTTTCGGGCCGACACACAGCGAGTCCAGGGTTTTGTCCATTGCCACCACTTGTCGATGTCGCGGCGCAGGAGATCGACAAGTTGAGGACCTTGGATCATCCTGCAGTGCTCCGACTCTTCGAGTATTGTGCCGATGAGAGAAACTTGTACTTGATCACAGATTTGCTCCCAGGCCGGCTTGGTTCTGAAGAATTCGCAGCCGTCGAACGATTCGTTCGGTGGGGGTCCTAGCTTGCTTGCTGTCCTGATTCAGGTGGAGACTTGCTGGATGCGGTGGAAGGCTCATATGGCAAAAAGAAGCACTTGGAGGAACTGAGTGCGAGGGATAGAGCGTAGCAGCACTGCTGCTGCTGCTGCAGTGGTGGCTGAGAAGTGAGGTTGGGTGGAATTGCTTTAATGAATTGTTCAGTGTCAAGCAAAGGTGTCTCTCACATACCATCAAGGTGCAGGAACAGATGGCAGATGACAGGTTTGTTGATACTTGCCAATGATATGTACGGTTGGTTCTTGCTGGGAAACGGGAGCAGGCAGTGGGAACCGGGAGCAGGCAGTTGCTCTATTTCCCTCCTATTTGCTATAGTCACCATTCTGGAACAACCATCCAGAACCGCTTACCCACCCGGCCGACTAGCATGGAACCTGACAATTGACCGGGTGAAGTCCGTGTTCCTCGATGGACCCACAGACAGCGGTCCATACTCCATCTTGATCGGAAACCTATCGGAAGGACTATGGATATGGTTGTTTCAAGCCGGCGTGGCCTGGATCCACCATCGGAGGATCGTGGATCCACTGATCCACTATTCTGGAAAGCCAGCTTGGGCCACCACCCTGCTTCCAACCCTAGCTTGCGCTGGTTGGCGCTGAGAGGAGCCCTGGGTGCAGGAGGTCTTTCGTCAGGTCTCGGAAGGCCGAGCGGGCGACCGCGCGAGCACCGATGGTCGACCGGTGCGGAAGGATTTGATGGTGATCAGCATCACGTGGACAACATGTTTACCTATATCATCCCGCTCTCTCTCTCTCTCTCTCTCGCTCTTTTTCTTTCTTTCTTTCTCTCTCTCTCTCTCTCTTTTTCTTTCTTTCTTTCTCTCTCTCTCTCTATATGTAGTTGGTGTGTGTAGGTTTTTGTACATTCTCTCTCTCTCTCTCTCCCTCCCTCTACTTTGATGTGTTTCAGAGCATTTTTTGTTGCGGCTTTCACCTTTGAAGAATCCTTTGAGCTTCAGTTCCTCTCAGCAGCCAGGAGTGGCCTATTGTCATGCCAAAGGAGTTATGCCCCTCAGCTAAAGAAGTCTTGGTTGGTCCAAATGGGCGAGAGTTCCTCTCAAGTCAGGAAGGACATCAGTGACCTATCTGACCTATCTACATGGTCACACGTTGATATTAGGGCCTCAGTGTTTTTACAGTTACGTATCCTTGGCAAGCTCGTTTTTTTGTGAACCCTTTCAGTGTTTTGAGGCCTTGGTGTTTGAACAGTAGGTGAATTTCCTGTGTTTTAGGGACACAAAGAGCATTTTATAATGCACATCTCAGCATTTCTACCCCGTTTCCGTGTTTGTTTGTTTCGACGGCCGAAGTAGTTTCCGCCAAACTTTTTTCAGAGCTTCCCGAGCGCTCTTGTCAGGTCAACATCTGCATCTAAGTTGGAGCGCCAAACAAAAGACACTGTGCCAAGCATAACGCATGAAACAATAAATATGACATTGACAGAACATATAAGTACTTTTCCGGGGAAGAGACCGTGACTCACAACCTATACTGCATCGATTAAATGACGTGATTATCCCGGCCCCCCACCCCACCCCCTCCCCCACCCGTAAGAAGTCATACAGTCATACTGTAACCTCCATGCAACGTTGACACCAGAGAAACCCTCATGTAGCATCAACATCATAGTGACCCCCATGTAATGTCAACATCAGCGTAACCCTCATGTAACATCAACGTCGTTATCCCACCCCAACCCCGCACCACCCCCACCCCCCATGTAACATGAACATCACGGCAGAATTGCAAGTTATATGTAGTGTCAGTGTCGAGGGTCAAAAACGCACTGATGAAAGAGCTTCTGCACCGCTTGAAGTGGATGACCTTCCGATCGTCATTGGCTATTGGTTTTTTTGAGGATCTCCTTTTTCACAGGGCCGGAGACCCCAAACTCCCGGACTCTTCGATCTTGGCTGGTTTGGTCCGCGGCTCCCAGGCACAAGGACCTAAAGCTGGAGAACATCATGCTTTCGTCCGTCGAGCCTCCCAAGGTGCCGCGGCGTTTCGTGCGTTTCGATTGGTTCTGGGCTAGCGACTTGGCTCAGCTTGTCTGGATGCCTTTTGGAACCAGCCCCGGGGGGGGGGGGTAGGCTGACATCACGGGTGTCCGAGAAGTGGCGTCTTAGACATCACCAGGTCTTACAGTCTGAGACATTCTTAGGTCTTAGGTCTTACCCACACAGAACCCTTCTCAGGTCTTAGGCGTCCTAGCGTCGGCCACCAGCGCCTAGTTGGACACTCATTCAGTCCGCGGCCGACCGGAGTGAACGCTGGGACGCAGGCGGTGGTCATCGACGTGGGCTTAGCGGAGCTCTTTCCGGTGAACGAGGTGGGATGGATGTCGGTCCAGCAGATTCCAGTGATGCCAGACACCAGAGTCAGTTTTAAGGCCAGTTGAGTTCTCTCTGCGTCCCTGTCTGCTTCGTCCACGTCTTCAGCCATGCCCATCCATCAGTTCCTTCGAGGCCGACAGCTTCCGCAGCGCCGACCCGGCCGGCACACTGGCCACCATGGCGCCGGCCTGGGAGCCTGGTAGAGCGGGGGATGAACTTGTCTTAGGTTTGGGTCATCCGAGTCAGTGCTGCTTTTGGAGGTCTAGAGGTCTAGACGCATATGGCGAATCCACGCGTAACTGGCCAAAGGGCTAGTTGAGATGTCCTGTTGCTGGGCTTTGCATGGCTTGCTCCTCCCACGACCGCGGCAGGTCCAAACGGTCCTGGCAGCATCAAACATAACAAAGGACTTTGCAGCTGTGGGAATAGTTGAACCAAATCCAGGCCACAAAGTGTGAGTCCACCAAGAAGTAACAAAGGCCATTCATGGGGGCCCAGGTGGAGAGGATGGGTCGAAACCAACTCTCCTTCCAAAAGTTGTGTGGGCGCAACGGCCTGTGATCGTCACCATTCTCCCGACTGAGGAAGTGGTCCGAGGCAGCTTCAACGCCAAGTGCGACGTTTGGTCTTTGGGCTGCTGTTTGTACGCGCTCTTGTGCCATCGCCCACTCCGCCTGGAAGACAACAAGGGAGAAGGCACAAGAGTGGGCCATGGGGCAATGTTGCGTGAGTGTGGGGTCGCTTGTCTGTTTGGCAAGCGCTATGGTGCTCAAAGAATGAGTCCGGGTCTTTCGTCCCACAATTCAAGTGATGAGTCCGACCTGGTGGTCCTTTTGTCCTGCGAGATCGTGTAGAAGAGATGTGGAGAGAAGAAGAAAAGGTACAGTATATAGGAGAACATCTGCTGCTCGTTGTGTCCTCGGCATCTTCTTTGGGTCTAACCCCGCCATCAATTACTGTTCGGTGACGGAACCCGCCATGACGGGCGAAGACATTCACCGATTACGTGGTCCCTCGAAACTCGCATGGCAGCGGTGTGCAGGGGTGGTGGAGCAGTACGACTACTTCTACCCCTTCACGCCACCCCCTGACGAGTCCCGCCAGGCGGGGTAGAGAGCCGGGGGGCGGGAGGAAGTGGTGGGGCGATTCTAAGATGGCCTGGGCGTCCAGCGTTGCAAGGGTCGTAGGTTTGAAGTTGGCAGTTGGCAACGTGCAAGCAACGTGCAAGTGCAAGCAATTGCCAGACGCCAACGAGTCCAACGAGCACCATTTAGTTGAGAACTGGTGCATGCTCCAGTTGCGCCACGGGCGCAGGAGCTAAAGGCCTACCTGGTACGGCAGAAGGAGGGTCCAGACTTCAAGCGCTTGGAATGCTCTGCAGAAGCCAAGGAGCGGATGGTCTGGGAATGTTTCCACACACCCAAGTGGAACATAGTGGAACCATACATAGGTCGCGTCAGTTGTTTCAGTGTTTGCGGCTAGGATGTCTTGAAACACTGTCACACATTTTTGAAACAAGAACGCTCGTTTCAGGTTCCCTTGTTGTTATATGACATCATATTTCCAAAAGTCGGTGTCAAATCATCATATCTGGCGATGATGATTCAAGAGGCCACGATGGAGGGGGGGCGCCCCACTTGACTGCAGTTCATCCCCCGTGCAAGCTACCAGGAGCTGATTGCTAAGTTGCTGACCTTCGACAAGGACGATTTTCGATGCACAGACGAGCTAGGTGCTGTGCCAGCACATCCCAAATGGTCATGTAGACTGTAGACAGTTGATGAAATTTTATCCCTGCCTACATCCCTCTACCAGAACGGTTTTTTCCTCTCCCAACCTGGGGGAGGTTTGATTCATGCACAGTCCTTGGGTGGTTGGAGGCGCGGGCTCACCGAGTGCCGTGCATTTTTGCCTTCAGGACCCGCGACCTTCGATGCGGCAAGCCCTGAGTTCGGGAGCCCCAGCCGGCCCCGGCCAGACAGTGGATGAAAGGAAGGTATGAGATGCATTTGGAGCTGGTGGGACCACGCGGCGGGACGTCGCGGCGGGCAGCCGAGTAGTACATCAGCGGGCACCCGGCCACTTCCCGTGCGTGATGCAGGGGACGCAACCCCCCCGCCCGCTCAACTCTCGAGGTTTTTCATGGCTGCAGAGCTCCAAGTCTTCGGGACAGATCAGCCACGAGCAGTTGGAGAGCTTGCTGCAGTTCCATCGCATCAATCCTTTGGCACAGGCCACGGTTCCACCGACACCACGGAAAAAGCGAGCTCACGGGTCCGTGAGCCCTGGACAGGGGTGGACATGGGTGGAAACGACACATGCGATGTCCATGGAGTTGCTTACTTCTTCGAAGAAGGTGTCTATGGGGTCAGTTCCGGTTCCTACCATTGACTCTGAGCTCTGAAGCTGCTCCATGCTGGTGCCGGCCCCAGTGAAGAACCCATCAAGGGTAGTGATGTTGCATCTCCATGGGCACATCACGCACGGGGGTTCTTGCAAAACTTTCAGGGTGACCAGTGACCAGCATCCCAGCATCCAGGTTGGGTAAGTCAAGAAAGGTTGCCTCAGCAACCTGAGTTCACGTCACTGTAGCTGACTTTGGAATGCACCTTCCCAGCTTCACCAAGCTCTTCCCGCTCACTTAGTGCTTTGGCAAAACAAGCCATTTCGAAGAGCGCCCCTTCCTCTCTTTTCCATCGACATCTCCGAATTTTGACGGAGTCGAATTCTCGGCCCACTTCGCTCCAGGCAGTCCTGTTGGATCTCTCCTCGCAACTGCCCTTGAGGCAACTCCGATGCTTGGCATGCGGAGGGTGCCGGGATGTGGCGGTCCAAAACTCATGGAAGAAGATTGCCATGTAATATGATCACATATCACATGATACATGCCCGGATTATCCTGGATTGTGGTCATTATATCTAAATGTAGGGGATGTCCAATTGTTGATCCCGCTGATTCGATGATTAGCTTACCAGCTGTGTAGCCATGGCCTCCAACCTAGTGAGTGATGGCCTCCACACAAGTAGAGATGGCCTCCAACCTGCTAGCGATGGCCTCCTAAATAGATCTAAATGGCACGATGTCACTGCTAGCTTCTGCCATCCGAGGAGAAATGATTAGCCTTTTCGAGTCCATGGACACCGATGGCAATGGGATTCTGGACGAGGCGAGGGGGCCGTCGTCGGTGGGATCAACGGCTGGGTAGGCTTTGGTGGGATGAATGTGTGTTTCTACATATCGGCAACGGGTTGCAGATGGCATGCAACCGTTGTTGTAAACTCTTCTCCTGAACACTTCAGACCATCTTGGGGTAGGAGTTAGGTCTGAGAACAGGGCTGCTTTGGGATCAGAAAGGGGCTTGTTGACGGACATTGCAACATCCCCTGTCTACCGGCTGGCATTGGAACGCTCTCATTGAGCCACCATGGCGTCTCCGTTCAGCACCGCTGTCGTTGCGTTTCGCACCAGGGATCCCCCGCGAAATGCTCCGAGGCGGAGTTGGCCGAAGCCTTGAAGGCTGCAGGCCTGGCAGCGGAGTCAGCGCAGCAGGCGGCCAAGCGCTTGGCCAAGGGATCAGGTGCAGCGCCGGACAGATGGGTCACTTTGGGGTGGCGCACCGTTGGGCATGTCCGGGTATGTGAGGTAAATAAAGATGTTTGTGCCGCCACGTTGCACAACCTCTGGCACATCATTCAACTCCCGAGTCAATGACAATGGCTCTACTCACGAGAGATCAGATAGGAAAGCAACAAAATCCACCAACCTTGAGTGGGATGGGAAGAAGAATAGGTGGCAGTCTGTTGCTCTTGGCATTTCATGTGCTTCATTCTTCTTGAGGCTGAAGAGGGTGAAAACCATTCAACCAACTCAATACATGGAGCCATCAGCCCATATCAGCCCTTCCTTTCAAAAAGCCGGTCTTCTCCTTGATGCAACCGGGATTCCTTCCATGCATCCTGGGGCGTAACGGGCCACGCAGCGCGCGCGCGCCAGCCACGGGCGACGCAGGTGGCACCGTGGAGTTCTCGCGCTTCGTGGCCGCCCTGGCGCCCGCCGTGGGGCTGGTCGACGTGGAGCTCCTGCGGAGCAGCTTCAACCGTCTGGACGCGCGGAGACCCGACGTTTGGAGCGCGATGCCACGGAGGGGGCGAAGAATGGCCGAAGATGGGTCCTGGGTTGGTGCTGGGTGAGAGGAATTGGTCTCAGAATGTTTTGAGGTGGTTGGACGAAAGCTTTTTTGCGACAACTATGCGTATGCATGGGACGAGATGGCACGAGAACAGACAGTGCTAGAGCATGGTAGAGTTTAGAATCAGACGGGAGGCCGTATGGCAAATCTCCGACAAATTCGCCTCCTACAAGAAGTTCTATTGCGGCCAACTCTGACAATCTAGGGAGCCTTAAGGCTTAAGGCCTGTAGCCAGAACGGCAACAACAAGTTGGCTGCCGGGTTCCGGCGTGCAGCAAGTGACACTTGTTTCACGTGTTGCGGATTTGACCGTCCTTTTTCCTTCCGAAAGCGATATAGGGACGCTCCTCGGACGCTAGGACGGCTAGACGGGGGGGTTCTTACTTCTCAATGACTGGGTCCCATGGCCGAACGATAGCCATGCAGCGTGAGCTAGGCCAACGGGGATGGCTACGTGAGCCGAAGCGGCTTGGATGGATCAAGTTGGTGTCTTCAAGCGGCCAAGACTGGGGGAAGGAGTGTTCAAGGTGTGCCTTGAAGAACCCAGGTTAGTCCCTTCCCATGTTCTACCCTACCCTTTCCTGTATTCCGCGGGAGTCTTAGCAGGTCAAATCCCCAAGACTGCAAGGCGGTTGAAATTCAGCTCCGGTCAAACCACTCCGATAGTACTGTACAGAGTACGTTGGCGTAAGAGCTGATCAAATCACAACTAGAATCCCACCTGATGTATATAGGATTATATAGGTATATATTTGGAGGGAGATTTTGAGTTTGTTTGATAGGATGCCAGGAGTCATGTAGGATGTGTTGGTTTTTCGAGTGAATGATCGAGATATCAGCCCACCCAAATGGCCTTCATATGGATGCACAGGCCGAGGAACTTCAGCCCACGCCCGTGGAACCGTGGGCTGAATCAAGGGACCCGCACATATATAAAACTGTGTCGAGCTTTGGGCAGGTTTGGGTGCACAGTCTTCATTACATTTGGTACACTGTCCATTTTGGCTCAAGCCAAAAGTGGGACAGTGGAGTTTCTGTTCTGCTAATTTTTGCGGTGTGTGCTGTGGATGACTTCACAGCCTATCGTCGGTGTGCATGTCGCCATGTTCACGGCTGCTGAGGTGCTTTCGTCCGCCGCGTTCATCGAGTTCCGTCGCCAGGTCGATGCCCTTTTGGCCCGGGGGGACCGGGCAGGCGCGATGCGGCTTTGGAGCTCGGTGGTTCTCTTCGAGCACATGCCTCCGTCTTCACGCCCGGGGGACGGGCCAGCTGGTTTCCCCCCTATGCGGATCTCAGTGTGTCCTAAGAGTGCCTGCCCACGGTGCGATCAGGGGCGAGGGGGCTATGTTTTCCCGTGGGTCGGGATTTGGAACCGGCGCGGGACGATCGTGCCATCCGGGTTCACTCCTCAGCAGGCCTGGGATAGGCATGCTCGGTTGGACGCCAACATGGACCTCCTCTTGTTGCAGCCCTACCGTACCCCGTACTCTGCCGAAAATTTTGTGCCCTCCTATCTGTGGGAGTTCCAGCAGAAGGTTCCTGGGGATTTTGACCTCTTGCCCCTGCAAACATTTCAATCTGAAGTTCTCTATTATATGCGACACTGGATCATGGGATCACCACATGGGTTGTGGTCCAACCCCTTTCGTGCCCCACTGCCAGATCTTGAGCATCTGCCGCGCCGCCTGGAAGCTCTTCACCCGAAGATTCGTGCCCATCGAGCCCTTCGTGGATGGTTGGGGTCCTCAATCAACGGAGAGTCGGAGTTTCCTCCAGCGTGTTGCGGCTGTGGTGATCCCACTTATCGGCAGTGCCTTGGTTGTATCAAAGGAGTGTGTTCCGCCTGTTTCCCAGTGCTCCAAATCTGTCCGGTCTGCCGCGAACTTTCGTCGTCTGATGACGATAGTGGGTAGTTCAGCGGGTGCGCAAGCCATGGTGTACCGTGCACAAGTCGCTGGAGCGGTGGACGCTCCGCCGGACGAACCGGCTTCGTCCTCTGGTTGGCGAGCCGAAGACAGCCTTGCTAGGGTGGCAGGGGCCCGTGCCATCACATGGCGCCGGGAACGGGGCTATGAGAAAGATGAGGACTTCGCCTTTGCCTTCTCTACCTGGGAGGAAGCTGTGGCCGTGGGAGGCCATTTCTTGGCGGACGCTTGGCTAGCAGTCCGGGTTGCCCAGCAGGATGAACTTCTCCCGGCGGCGGCGCGCTTGCTTGAGGGGGGTCCCCTGCTGCCGGATACACGTCCTCCACTGGTTCGCAAGCGGAAGGAAGTTCCACTTGAGGCGGGGGTACGCCTTCATGAGCGGGTGCAGGATCAGCCCGAGTCCATACAGCGCCAAGTGTTGGCCCTGCAGAAGGTGTTCCTGACCGTGGGGGCGTTGAAGCCTGAAGCGGGATTGGCAGGCCTCCGTCCTTCGCTTGGCCCAGACCAAAGTGGCGGAGTCTGAGTCGGTGACGATTCAGAATGCTCTCCGCACCTATGGGGAGCTCCACGCCTTTTTGCTCCACCGCGGGAGGTCGTTCCCTCCGGACTTTGTGGACATGGACAACTTCCTGCATCAGGGGACGATGGCCCCTACCCGCGCGCTCAATGCGCTTCGTTGGCTGTGCAAGCATTCTGGAGCTCCTTGGGAAGTGGCCCGGCTTCGTATCTCTCCGGAGCTGAAGAAGAAGGCCACTTCTACGAAGAGCCAAGCCCTTGTTGTGGAGCCTGGCATGCTGCAGCTGTTGGAGGAACGCATTGAGAGCATGTGCCGTGGGGGGGACCCGCGTTGGACATGTCTTCTCGGCTCTTGGCTGGTGGCTACGGGTTGCTTGCGATACCAGCATCTTCGCCGCTCAACCGTTCGTCGCATCAGCCCACTCGTGTTCCACGGCCACTGTCGCAAAGGCAAGCAGCGTCATGCTCGTGGCGGCTTTGATTGGTGTGCTCCAGCCGAGTTTGCCTCCACCTTCAACTGGACTGTGGAGTGGCTCAAAGCCTGGAAGGCTCTCTCTCCGGTGGCCCAGAAGAGTGCAGGGATCTGCTTTGACGGGCGTGGGACGCCTTGGAACATCGCTGAGGTTCAGCACCTATGCCAGTCGATCTTTGCCGAGTTCCTGGACAATACAGAGCAGTTGACCACCTACTCTTGGCGACGAATGCTTCCCACAGTGGGCCATATTCTGAATTTGTCGTCGTCTGATCTTTGCTCCCTCGGCGATTGGCAGGACAAATCCAAAGAGCCGGCTGAAGCAGGGATGGCATTGCACTATTCGTCAGCTCGGTATGCCCAGTCCCTTCGCAACAAGATCCTGGCCACTTCAGTGGCCCACAGCTGTGAGGGTCACAGCTTTTGGGAGGAGGTGCTTCCTGCCGATTTGGATGGTTTCCGCGAAGTGGCCAAAGACGCGCTTGCCATGGCCATCGCGAAGGACAAGGAGACGAGGTATGCGGCTCAGCCAACCAAGGAGTCGCTGAAGACGCACCTCCAATTCTCCAGGGCCCGAGTCGCTAAGGCAGCGGCCAACAAAATCCGAGGAAGCACCTCGCGCCAGACGGTATCCATGCCGGATGCCATCCGAGGCCGCGTGCTGACGGCTTTCTTGAAGAATGGGCGTCGCCTTTGCGGGGCTTTCCAGATGCCCGAGGGGTGCGCAGAAGGAGAGGAGGTTTGCGGGAACGCTCACCTCTGCGCTGTTCTTTTGGCCCGGGGGCGGGCTTGTGGCGGGAGCCACGGTGCATTTATTTGCACCGAAAAGAAGTACTTGGCGGCCGAGACGCCAGTTCCAGTTCGTGCGGCGGCGGCGTCAGCTTCTTCTACTACGTCCTCAAAGGCCAAACCCTCCTCTCGAGCCAAACGCCGGCGAGCGGAATCGCCCCAGCCAAGTGCTCGGCCTGATGCAGCAGAGGCCCTCTCTCCAAGGCCCAAGACGCCTCCGAAGGCACCTCCATCCAAGGCGGTTCCGCCCAAGTTGATTGCAACGTCGGCCAAGAAGAAGCCGCGAGGTCCGCGGGATCCCTCGCCTCCACCGCTGGCCAGAACGCCTCCTTGGCGACAGTCTTCAGACCCAGCACCGAGCACCCTGCCTATTCCGGCAGTGTCGCCAGGACCTCAGCAATCTCACTGGGACCGGTTGGCCACCTCAGAAGGGCGTGACACTCTCGCCCCAACCCTGATCATGACGACTCGGTCAGGTGGCCAGCTGTGGCTCTCCGGTATTCCGATCGCTGAGACAGTGCAACATTTCCCGAAGGCTCACCTCCAGATCGCTTGTCTACCACAATACCCCGAGGGTCGGGGGGGCGTGTCGTTGCCGGAGGCATGCGTCATGAAGGTGCAGATGGGCAGCAAGCGCATGGATCAGGAGTTCAAAGCGGCATGGCCTCTCATCCACCAGAGCCTTCATTGTGGTGATTCAGTGCTTGTGCATTGTATGGCGGGCAAGCATCGGGCTCCTGCCTGCACAGCCCTCATCTATGCGCTCATGATGGGCACCTCCGTGGATGAAGCAGCCGAGAAGATCACCAAGATGCGGCCTTGTGTGGAGTTCCACAAGTTCTGCAGGGATCGCACGGCGGCACAGTGGCTTTATACGACGAGGCGCACTCTGTCGTTGCCACCCGTACACCCAAAGCCTGCTGGATATCTTGCTTCTGAACGTTCCAACATCCACCTGTGCACGGAGGGCCGCATCGCTCTGTGCCACTTCAAGCAAGGCGAAGCTCGAGTTCAGCAACGGCTCAAAGACGCCCACTTCTGCAGCAGCTTCATGGAAGCAAGTACGTTTGCCCGTCCGGTGTGCGGACCTTGCTGGAGCAAAGCCCCAGCTTCCTGGCAAGCGCGACACTGAGCTGCTGAGCAGCCGTCCAGCCTAGTGATCGCCGGACGGTTGCGCCCCATAAGAGCAGGCGGCCTCCGTAGATGCCCCTTTTTGTAGACTACGTCACGTGTAGACTACCGAGGCGACCGGAGAGCGCGCCACCAGCGGAAAGAAACCTGAGTGTCAGTGACTCTTCTGCTGTGCAGTTTGTCATTTGGGGGGTCATCCCCAAGTCAGCAGGAGTGCTGTGTGGCCCGGAGGTTCCAGGCCTTTGACACTAGAGCGTAACGGCGACGCAGCGTCCATGTTTTGAGCCTCATTTTCGTTCATGTGCACCTAGGATCTCCGCCTCGCCAGCTCCTTTTGGCCGTCAGAGGCGAGGTGGGTCCTCGTGGTACCACTTTGTGAGGTGGGTCCTCACTTTCCGTAGGGAGGGTCCCTGTGTCCCCACATGGCGTCTAGCTTGCAACTCGTGCCGAGTGACGGTGCGGATGCTGCGGCTACTTTCCGCCAGTTGGGGATTAACTTCAGCATAGCTGAAGCCGTGACCGATGCCTTGGTCAAAGCCCGGCTCCAGAACCTGGAGGAGTTTCGCTTCTTTTTCGAGAGTGAGGACAAGGTCCAACCCTGGTTGGCCAAACTCTCCCTGGGCGAGGATGC